CCCTTAGTCTCCACGCTCCTGGCCTCCTCGTTTGTAGCTGCATTACAAGGATTGAATCCTAGGATCGTCTGCCTTTGTAGGCTTCTGAGGACTGGAGAAAGGGACTCAGCCTGCTTTTAAAAATCAGTTTTGAGTGCCAGGCTGTGGTGGCGCACGCCTTTAATCCCAGCACTTGGGAGGCAGAGACAGGTGGATCTCTGAGTTTGAGGACAGCCAGGGCTGCACAGAGAAATCCTGTCTTGAAAAAACCAAAACACCCCCCTTCTCCAAAATTAGCATTTAAGGTATCATCATGAAAATATGGGATTTATGTAAAAGGGTTACTACAGTGAAAAATGGACACGCCTACCGCCTAACCATTGCCCACTTCCTATGGCAAGAGCATCTTAAAAAAAAAATCTCGTAGTCTGATCTAGAATATAATTTCATCGATACTGTCTTCATGTCCTATGTTAGGACTCTGGACTTTTTTATCCTTTGCATCTGCTACTTTGAACTGTTCACTTGGTTCTTCCTGTCCCCTTCTCCCAGTCCCCTGGTTATGTTTTAAAGACAGGCCTTTATTCTGTGACCCCAGCTGGCCTAGAACTCACTATAGCCCATGAGCCTCCTTTTTTTTAGTGCTTCTTTAGGGTCAGGCTTATGATCCTGCCATAAGGACACAATAGGCCTAGGGTTAGGACCTCTGTGCTCCTCAGCCCTGCCCCTTTGCAGCCCAGTGCCCCAGGTGAAGGCTTGAGGACACTTGATCCCTCTGGGGCATCCCGGGCAGGAAGCAGGGCCTCCAGGTTCAGGTCTTTTGAAAGGCAAGAGAATCAGAGGTCCCAGGGGTGTCCATTGTTGCCAGCAACAGGCATATTCTCTGGAGCCAAGCTCCACGGAGTTAATTGGTATGTTTTTTACTTTCTGGAAAGTGGTAATTAACCCTGCTCAGGCATAAGTGTGTTGAATGCAGGGTTCCTACAATCCTAGCACATAATTCTCTCTTCCTTCTCTTACCTTTCAGCAGACAGCTCGGACAACTCTGATTTGGAAGATGACATCATCTTATCTCTGAATGAGTGATGTGCCAGTCCCCACTTGGAAGAGAATCTTGGCAGGCGAGAGAAACTGAGTGAATGAATTCAGAAAACCTGCCTTTTGCTGTCTCCCAGGGCTGTCTGTTAAGGAACTGTATGCCCTGCATTCAGAGGACTGTGATTTAGAGTCTCCCTGGAATCTGAGGGCCCTTCTAAAAAACAGTAACACACACACACACACACACACACACACACACACACACACACACACACACACACACGACTACAGGGACTAGGCCCCAATTTGTGTCCCCTCCTCCTCGGACGGACATAGCTTTCCTCACGGGAAAAACAAACATGTCTCTGGGTATTTCACAATATATTTTCTTTGTATAATGTTCTTTACTTAAAGAACAAGAAATAGTTTTTTATAAAACTTTAAAAAGAAAAAAAAAAGCAACAGGCATTTATAACCGAGGGTCTGAACTTCCACCCACCAGTCTATCCCTGCACTTCATTTTCTTTGGAAGAAAATGGCGTCTACAGAACAATATAGAGGCATTTTTACATACGTATTTAAATGAAGAGGAAAATCGTGGTTTCTTAAATTGATAAGGATTAAGAATATTTTATTATAAATATAATATATGATTTTTTAACCTGTTTTGTTGCCTCATACGCTGTCAAGTTAATTTGTTTTCCTTTGTGCCAGAGTGGGAATGGAAGGCATGGCCTGCTCCTGGGAAGATGCCTAACTCCCTCCCTTGGTGGCCAGGCAGCAGTTGTGTGGACCTTGGTTTTGTGGAGTTGAGAACTTTAGGGGTATAAATTCACTCCCTCTCTTTCTCTTTGTGATTCAGTTTTTTCAGAAGTCTTTTTTTTTTCCTTCCCTTTCTTCCCAATGTGGAAATTACAAATCAAAGGTCTTTTTCTTTAATGTAAAGTGTATTTATTTAAAAAAAAATACAAAATAAACTACAAGTCTGTCTTTGTTTATGGCCTTGCCTTTTCTTTTACTGAAGTGGGGTGTCCCTCTCCAGCTCCTCACAGTTCTGGCCAGGCCAGAGTTCTCCCATAGCAAGCCCCCAGGGCAGACAGTGGTTTAGTCACTTGAGCCCGGACTGAAGTTGCTGGAGGCCTTGTGAGGATGGCATGGGGCACAGAGCGGGGGTGGGGAAGTAGGGCTGCATCTGTTACCATGTGTGGGACCTTTAAGGAGCATTCTGGTCTTTTTCAGTCCTAGAAGTTGAGGGGTACTTGAGGCTTGGTCAGGTTGGATATGGAGAAAAACTTCATGGGTCTAAAACTAACAAAGTATCAGGGGCTCATGTTTTGTTTGTCCCGTCACTTCCCTCCCACAATAAATATTAAAACATTAATTTCTCTCTCTGATTTTGCCCTAATGGTAGCTTCGGTTTCTGTTACATAGGCATTAATTACACAGCCACAGAGACCCCTCTCCCTTTACTGAGAAGGGTGCACCGGGTATAAAGTAAACAACACACGATGGCGAACTCTCCAGGGGTAGGTAGAGCCTGCTCCGCTCGGGAACACAACCTGTCACACTGAAATGACCTGTACCACAGAGGTACATCTTGCTCCTTTAAAAGTCGAGGCCTCGGCTCCTCATTTGCTTCATGCCTTGGCATTAAATGGTTAGCTGACAACAGCTAGAAGTCTGATGGCTGGTACTGAATGCCGCTGAAGAGAGAGCAGGAAAAGTCTGCACTGTCACTAATGCAGCTCACCTGCCAGGGGCTCCTGGGAGCACCCACAGGCCTCCCAAGGTGGAGATGGGCACATTTAATAGGAAAGCACAATTCTGGTTGACTTGACAACACTCCCTTAGGAATGTGCTTCATGAGACCAAAAGAAAACATCTACCTTCCTTGTTCTACTAGGGTTCAAAACCTGAGTCACTTAGGAAAACACAGGAGATGAGAACACTATCAACTAGGGGTTTTGTCTGCTCGTGTTTTTTGCTTTCATGAAACATCTCAGGCACTGGGTACCTGTTGTTAGCTTTCTCACTGGAGACAATGTCACAATCGAACAAGGCCTTGGCCACCTGACCCACCTTCCTTAGTGCTGACAGGCTGGCTGAGAGGCCACAGAACCTGTTACTCTTAGGGACTAAAAGTGGTTAAGATGGTTAAGTGGTCCAAGGTGGAAGGTTACAGCGGGGTGCGGTTCTTCACCAAGAAACAGCGGTTATCAGTAGAGAAAAAGGGCACCCCTTTCCGAACGGGTTGATGAAGCTGGGGCTGGGGCGCCTTAGTTCATTCTGCCTGAAAGGGAACACTTGGTGATGAAACCTGCTTTGTTAAGGAAGATGGGGAGCCGGAAGTGCTACAACAGCTGTCCTGTGACGGACGCTGTTCAAGTTCTACAAGAACTGCAACAGGCCTTCAGGATGAGGCCTGCTCTGGTTTCTGTGGTATAACAAAGAATCCTGAAGTAGTCTGGGACACCAGGCCGGCTGGCTCGCTCCAATCCGAAGGCGGTGGCCGCAGCTCCAGTAGACACAGGCAGATACATTAACACTAACGCTTTAGAGCAGTGGTTCTCAACCTTCCTATGGTGAGACCTCTTAATACAGCTCCTCATGTGGTGCTGATCCCCAACCATAAAATTAATTTCGTTGCTACTTCATAACTGTAATTTTGCTACTGTTATGAATCATAATGTAAATATTTTCTGGCAATAGTTTGTCAGAGGGGTCGCGACCCACAGGTTGAGAACCACGGCTTCGGAGCCATGCTTTGTTTCTCATGAACACCAGCCAAGGCCTGGTGAGTGGAAAGTCCCTGTTTTGCCCAATCTCCTGAATTTCTGTCTGTAGACCAGCACGATTGCCATACAACCTCCAAAGTCCATCTCTGAGCCCAGGCGTCACAGGTGCTGCCTGAGGGCGTGGCCCAGAACCTCTGTCCAGGGTTCCCATTCTAGGCCTGAATGTTTGGACTACTCAAGCTGTCACACTCTGAGCCTGGCTGTGGTCTGTGGTGACAACTGTTGCTTGATCTGGCTTCCTACTTGAGACAGCAAAGGCAGAGCCCAAAACTCCTTAGGCTACTTTCTCCTCCCCGCGTGAGGATGCCTCAAATCTGTTTCCCTCTTACCACAGCTGATGAGGCTCTGGGCTCTAGCCTATTATTTAGCAACTGTGACTTCTATTTCCTTACCTCATTTCTGTGTATCAAGAGCACGGAACACTGTGTCACTCATCAAGGACATCTTCCTGGCCCTCTATTCCCTTGCAGCACTGAGTACTGCAGTTGGGGGTCTGTTGTTTGCCATAAAGCTCTAGGTTTGACTGGCACAAGCTCACTCTACTGACACAGCCCTGAAAGACCAAAGAAAGCCCCGAATCACAAGCACACCGAAGAGTTAACCCAGTTAGGCTGCTTCTCACCCTGAATGCCAACATTTTGCCTCCAGGACCCCTGGGAGTCAGGCAGCTGGCTCTGATACTGGAGACGCGAAACTACATCAAGACTAAAGGCTGATCCAGAGGGGGACCCTGGACAGGCCATGCACACGGCCCCTCAGCATCAATATTGCACTGTTCCTCCCCCGAAATACACGAACACAGAACTGAAGGCTACCCTCTGTCCAACAGGCTTTACAACTGGGTGCTGTCCAATGGCCACAGCTCAAACTGAAGCACACACTTTTTTTCCCCTGAAGGACAAGGGAAAAAAACAACAACAGAAAACTACCTGTAGCCGATGGCACAGCTCTGAGGCCCAAGCCCTTCCTCTAACGGGCTCAGCTCAGGGTGGTGGAACCGCCCGCCTACGGCGCACAAGCCCGCTGGCCACTGGCTAAGACTGACAAGTGTGCTCAGAGTCCCGACAGATGAAGAGCCGCACCCCAAACGCAGCACAACTTTCGGAAGCAGTGGTCCCAAGAACATGACACAGGACATGCACCGAGGGAAGCCGTCCATTCTTTAAGAGAACCTGATTAAACCGGGACTGTGGTCGGGTGAAAAATTCATCCCGCCAAAGGCTTTACTGACAACTTTCCATACAGTTAGTCAAAAAAAATAAAAATAAAAAAATACAGAATACAGCAGACAGTATCTCATACACAGGAAACATACTAGGAGTTTCTTCTTGTAAAAAACAAAAAGCCCCAGACCCGAGAACTGAGTTTTAGCAGTGGACAGGATGCCACCAAATGAACCAGAACAAACCAGCAAGAATTCAAACCAAGGGAGGAAGGTAGGTCGAGGAGGGAGCAGATTTGTAAAAGAACTGCTTCTGTGACACACGCAGCTGGAGGGAACAGGTGGGCTAGGCAGTGTCTCGGACTATAACGATCACCATGTGTTCGTCCTCGAGCTTGCCCAATGTCCTCAGTGCTGACTGGAGGTACTGCTGTGAGAAGTCGCAGGGCGGGAAGGCATAGAGCATGCCCGTGCTGTCTCTGCCCTTAGACCCACCCACCGGCAGGCTGATCACCCCCGCGGCCTGCTTCTGTTTCAAGTAGGAGACCAGGTTCCTGAGAAGCCGCCTCTGTAGGCCTGGCTCCACCGTGGGCACCCCCTCAGTGCCAGGCCCACTGGGGGTTGACTGGATGGCCAGGAGCACTGCATAGCCGTTGGGGCTCCCCTGCTTGATGCGGCGGGTGACCTCGTCCAGCTTGGGCTGGTCCAGTCGAAGGCGCTGGGCAATCTTTAGCTGGGTCAGCTTGCTGCCAGAAGTGTGGTCTTTGAGGAGACCGCTGATAACTCCCTGGTCCCCCTCTAGGATGTGCATAGATGTTGGAAAGCAGCTGTTTTTCAAAACTAGAAGCCCATTCCAACCCAGCTGCAGTGTCTGAGCATACTCTGAAAGAGTCTTCAGCTTTTTGGTCTCGTGTTTTGGCTCTTCCAGGGTCTTGGGCTCTGCCTCGGTGGTCCGATGATTGCGTTCACTCTCTCTAGTCTTTTTCCCATGGGAAGAGTCTGGAGCCTCATGGTGGTGGTGGTGGCTCCGCTCCTCTGCATGTCTGCTGTTGCTGAGGGAGTTGCTGCCTGACTCCTTGGTCCCTTCACTGGAGTGGTTCTCCCTCCGGCTACGCTCAGGGGTGCGGTCCGAGCCTCGCTCAGACTGCTGCCCCCCACCCTTGGTCCTGCTCCGTTCCTCGTAAGGGGAGTGGGCTGTCCTTCCACGGTCACTGGAAAGGCTCCTCCGCTTGCGTCTCTCTTCCCAGGGCTTGGCTATAGTCCGGTCCCCATCTCCTCCCCAGCGTTCACCACTCCGGCTGCGCACTGAGCGGCTATACCCCTCCAGGCTATTTCTGCGGTCCGAACTTTTACTGAGGCTGGTCCAGTCCCCTTCCAAAAAGGTCCGGTCTCGGTCCGAATACAGAAGGTGTGGAGGGGTCCGATCCCGTACCCTAAGGTCAGGGTCCAGGTTTCGATGCCGGGTATATCCATCAGTGAGCAGCTCATAGTGCACAGGGAGAGGTGAGGGCTGGTACTGCTGGGGATAGCGAGTCTCTTCTGCTTTGGCAAAATCCACCCTGAGCCTGCGATCTGGACCACCCAAGGGAAAGCCCCTCATTTTAGCACAGGCGGCTTGGGCTGCGTCCAGGCTCTCGTACTGGATGTAGGCAAAGCTGTCTCCTTTGACGTGGTCAATGGTCCGGATGCTCCCAAAGCGATCAAATTCCCTGGCCAGGGCCGCCAGCGAGGTGTTAGGTCCCAGACCACCCACCCAGAGGCGGGTGGTGGGGTTAGCCTTGCCGTAGCCTATCTTTATAGGGTTTCTGCCAATCACCCGGCCGGACATAGCCACTTTGGCCCTGTGTGCCATGTCCAGGTTCTGAAACTTGAGGAAGGCATAGGCACCACCCTGGCCACGGGCAGGCCTCTTGATGACCACCTCCTCAATGATGCCGTACTTCTCGAAGGCCCGTCGAAGCTCCACCTCAGATACACTGTGGTCCAGGTTCCCGATGAAGAGGTTTCGAGTGGCTCTCTGGTCGTCCTCTGGCATCAGGTCCTCCTCGCACACGGCCGGGTAGCTGTAGGGGCGCCCGCGGTCGTCGTACAGCCCGTAGTAGTCCAAGGCCCGCTCCCGGGACAGTCCCACGGCCGCCGCGGCCGCCGCATCCAGGGCAAAGGCTGCCGCGGCGTGCCGGGCGCGGGGCTCCCGCAGGGGCGGGGCGGCCACCGGGGACAGCGAGCGCTGCTTGTACTGGTAGCCCCCGTGCAGCGGCAGGTAGCCCAGCGGATCGGCGGGCGCGGGAGGCCCTGGGGGCGGCGTGGAGGCAGCGGCGCTGCTGCTGCTACTGCGCCGGCTGCTCCCGCCGCCGCCGCCGCCGCCGCCGCGCAGGTAGACCGGCTCTACCTTGAGCGGGCGGTCGTAGAGCAGCAGCTGCCGGGCCAGCGCGTGTTGCCGGGCCTCGCGCGCGTCCTGTGGGTGCCGGAAGTTCACATAGGCCACGCGGCCCAGCTCCGGTGTGTGCGACAGGCGCAGGCTGATCTCACCGAAACGCTTGAACTGGTGGAAGAGCCGGTCCTCCAGGTGCTCGGCCGGCAGCGCGGGGCTCAGGCTGCTGATGAGGAGCGTCTTGTACTCCGGAGCCGCCGTGGAGCCGGGACCCGCAGGTTCCGCCCCGGGGGGCGGCGGGGGCGGTGGGAGTGGAGATGCGCGGGGCGACGCGCCGCCAGTACCGGAGTCCCCGGAGGCCTTGCCGGTGCGTCCTCCGCCTCCGGGCGCGCCCGAGGAGCGCCCGCTGCTCGCTCGGTGATTCGCATCCCCGGCAGCGCGACCGTCGCGATGCCCGCCGCCGCCGCCGCCGCCGCTGCCGCGGGGCTTGTCACGAGCCCGCGCTGGAACCGGGTGCTTGGTGCCGCCGGAGGCCTTGTGCGCTGCTCGCCGCCCGCCCGCCTCTGCCTCCCGTTCGCGCTCCCGCGGCCGCTTGGCGGACGATGACGAGCCACGCCCGCTCGGGCTGGAGTCTCGCTCGTTCTGCCGCTTCATGGCGCCGGCGCGGCGGGCGGGCGGGCGGCCCGCAGGCCCCTCACAGCGGCAGCGGCGGCGGCCCAGGAGGCAGCGCCCCCGGCGCCGCCATCTTGGACAAAAGGACTCGGCGCGGCGGCGGCGGCGGGGCGGGGCGGGAGCGGCGGCCGGGAGCTGCGTTATCAAGGTGCGCCGGCCGTGCCACGTGACTGGGGTGGGCGGGACGAGAGTTTCGCTCGGCGCCTATCCCTGGGCTCCGCCGGCCCGTACCACGTGACATCTTGGCAAGCGGAGGAGCGGGCCTGAGTAGGCGCTCTGGCGCCCCCGCGCGGCTGGCGGGGCTTAGGCGCGGGGCTAGTGCGTTGTGCGCGGATTGCCGCTGGACTTAGGCTTTGTGCTCCAGGGCTAGCTACACCGGGTCTGCCTGCTTTTTCCGGGCTCGGGGCTGTGCCCATTGCAACAGGAATGCCCACTTGACCGGCGGTATCCTGCCGCTAGGTTGAAATCCTATTCCCCTCCATGGCGTTTTCTAACTGGGACCACGACAGAGGTGACATCCTTGAAGGATCCCTACACCCTGTCCAGGACCCCCACCCCAGGCATCTTCTGTATTTAGATTCTTCAGGCACTGTCCTGGCAAGACCCTGAAAACAAAGACTACAGATGCAGGTGAGACCTTCCTGGATCCAGGTACAGAAACTAGGAAGACTGCATTTGCAACCTATAGACAGGCATCTTGGTGTCCCTGGGTCCAACTTTCTGCTGTAGGTTTCTGGGCAGACAGGAGGCTGGAAAGATAGGTCTGCAGAGCAAAGGGTAAGGAGCAGGTAATGCCAGAAGTTATCATTTCTTGCCATGCTGACATCTTGCTGGCTAGTGTTGTTTATATCCAGGAGGTGAAGTACAGGCAAGGGTACCCAGATGCCACTGGGGGTTTATGTTCTCCACAGATGGTTGCTGGATCCACTGAAGTATCTGTAGGATGACGAAGAGTGCACCCAGCTCTTCCCTCCTCCCACAGGCAGCAGTTGGCAGGAGACAGGTGCAGAAGAGAACTTGGAATAAACAGCAGTGAGCTCCATGGCAGGATCTAAGGCCCCGTGGATGCAAACTGACAAACTGAACTTAGGAACCACACAAGTGAGCTAAGACCAGCTCTTTGGAATCTTTTTTTTTTTTTTTTTTTTTTTTTGGTTTTTCGAGACAGGTTTTCTCCAAGTAGTTTTGGTGCCTGTCCTGGATCTCACTCTGTAGACCAGGCTGGCCTCAAATTCAGAGATCCGCCTGACTCTGCCTCCTGAGTGCTGGGATTAAAGGTGTGTGCCACCGCTGCCGGATGGAAAACACAACTTAGCAGTCATTCCTTTCACACGTTTGGGGACAGCAGGAGCGAAGTGTCCCCGGTGAGGCACTGCTAAGTACCAGTGACAGAGCAACTGGAAACCACACTGCACACAGCTCCCAGGTCCTCCACTCCTACCAGTCCTCACACTGCTTCTGTATAAACCGATTCCTGCCACACTTGCAAAAATGGAAGCATGCAAGGGGCCTTGTTCACACCAGAACTAGACTGGGACCCCAACAAAAGGATAACTAAGTACCAGGTGGAGTGAAGAAATGCCAATTCTGACCACCTGCACTCAGTGGAGAAGATTCTCTGCTTGTTCTGCATATGCTGAGCCAAAATGTAAATATACTTTAGACTTGAGTCCAGTGATAGCCCAACCTTCAGCTCCGCCTACTGGACTGTATTGGATGGGGGTTTGAAGGCAGGGGATGTCAAGTCTAGCTCTTCACTGGGCTGAAGTACACAATACTCTGAAGCCCTGAACCCAAACTTTGGCTGCTACATGCCCCTAAATCCTGTTATGGGAGTTTCTGGCACTGGCAGGCCAAGGGACTTTTACAGCCTGGAAAGGTAAACCAGTAGATTACAGGACACAATCCTGTTTCAGTTCAACTCTCCAAAGACAGATTTTTTTTTTTCCCTTTAATAAAAAAATCCCAGACAAACTTTGAAGTCCTAGAGTAAACCAGCAAAAGAAGGAAGGAAATCCCTCCCTCTTCGGGGAGGGGGCACCGCAGGGCCAGCGTCATTAGGAAAGCTCCAGGCTTCACATGTCATTGTCAGGAGCCCACTTCAAAAATAAATTACAAAATGGTTGTTTGGGGAAGAGACAGGAGAACTGTTTTTCCCCTCGGGTGCAGCAGGGATTGGGCAGACTATAAATCAGTCCGTGCGCTGGCTGCCTTGGGGGCGTATTTAGGCATCAGTTCATTTATCTTCCGGATATAGTCAGACTTTTCTGCGCAGCCTTTGCACATCTCCCCCCAGTCATCCAGGATCTTCTTCAGCTCTTTCACCCGGAGCTTCTTCAGGTCCACTGTGCTCAGGTCAATCTGCTTGTCTGCAGGGAGAGCAGGAGAGTGAATGGCTGGGTAGCAGATGCTGCGGCCCCCAGCTGTGCTGCTCGCCAAACCATTCCTTAGGAGGACCAGCCTACACGCAGCAGGGGAGACATATGCACACTGCGCCAAGAGGGAACTGGCATTCTTCAGCAAGAGGGCCACCTCAGGCTGTCAGTATCCACTACAGGACACGCAGTGCAGAGAACCCACATGGTTCAGAGGGGAAACACAGCTCCAGTTCCCCAAGGACCTTCTACATGTCAGCACAGAATGACAGTTCCAGGCTGGTGACAGAGCAGACATATCCCCTGGGTCCCCATCAAGGCACCAGAGTCAAAGCTTACTCCATAACCCATATGACCCAGACAGACCTGTATCAGAACCAACCAGGGTACCAAATTAGCACAAGCACACACCACAAACACAAGGTTCTTGGACAACACTGGCATGGTTTAAACTGTATGGGAGAGGCCTGGCTCTTCTCAATGAGATGGGCTCTGCTATGGTGATGCTGTGACTCCAATCACTCTTGGGCTAAAGGTTTTATGGCCATCAGAAATACAGCCATGACAAGTCTGTTAAAGTCTCATTACATCACTTCTCTGCTCAAAAGTTTGTCAACTGCTCCCAACTTCACTCAGACTAAAAGCCAAATTCCTCACCAAACCCCAAGGCCCCGTCCAACTTGTCTACCTCATGTATTACACTTCTCTCTATATTCTGTGTCTACACTGTGCTATTAGCTGGCCTTTTGGCTAATCTTCCTTCCTCTTCCTTCCTTCCTTCCTTTCTTTTTTTTTCCGAGACAGGGTTTCTCTGTGTAGTTTTGGTGCCTTCCCTGGAACTCACTCTGTAGCCCAGGCTGGCCTGGAACTCACAGAGATCTGCCTGCCTCTGCCTCCTGAGTGCTGGGACTAAAGGCGTGCGCCACCACTGCCCGGCCTCCTCCCTCTTTCGAAGTAAGCTAACAACTCACCTTCTCAACTTCTGACCTCCACCTAGCTTTGATATGGAAGTCTCTGAACTGCAGCAGAATGTCATCCATCATGCTATAAACCCTCACGATGACTTTTCTGGCTAGAAAGCAAGCCCAGAAGGGCATGTAGACATCGCAGGAGATGCACAGTTCTGGTCACACTCACCATATTTTAGCTCACAGATCTGACTGTCTTTCTTCTTCAGCTTCTCACAGATCTTCTCCACAGGGATATGGTGGGCCAGGGGCTTTGACACCTCGTTGATGATCTTGGTGGCTGCATCATCTGTGGCCCCGATGTAGTAGCACTGTAGCAAAAAAAACCCAAAAGCCTTAAAGGAGAATTTACGTGCATGTCTAAGTCACGTGTGTGCAGGTGCCGAGGAGGCCAGAAGGCACTGGATTCCCCGGAGCTGGAGTTAGCAGTGTTGTGGGTGCTGGAAACTAAACTCAGGTCCTCTGCAAGAGCAGTACACTTTCATAACCACCTCTCCAACTCCAGACAACAGCTGTTATTAGGTCACCTTGGAAACTTCTCTCTGCCAGGGCCTCATGTTTTAAGTACTTGCCCAGAGCTGGCTGTTGTGAACTCTAGGCACTTGATATGTGCTCAGTCCCAGAGTTTCCAGATGAGTTTAAGAACCATCAGAGTTCCAATGAGAGACTGCCAGAGAAACTAAAGCTACGAAGGCCAATGCTTTACGAGGGCTCTTGCCGTTGACTTGGCCCTGGCCACGGTGGGGCACCTAGCTAACTACTTCTGATCCCAAACACACCAAACTCTTTCTGGCCTTTGCACACTCATTCCACTGATGGATCCCCTTCCTCAGAGATACCTGACTACTTTCTCTAGTAGCCTCCCAACCCCCACACTCTCCTAGTCTATTTTCTTCACAGACACACCCTTCCCTGCTGTGCATCTGCCTGTCATTGTTCTCTTCTGGCATTACCAATACTCAGCTCATAGACGCTTAATAAATACAGGCTAAAAATACTTCAGTCTCGAATTAGTTTACAGACATGTCTCATCATGAAGTGGACAGTACACCCGAGCCAGGGAGAGCCTGGATGGGTCACCAGCTACTCACCAACCGATTCTCTTTGCCTCTTGCTTCACGGCAGAACTTTATAAGTTCTTCTTCAATAGTGGCTGGTGAAAATGTAACATCTCTGTCTTTGAGGTCCTGGTAAAATCTTCCCAGATAAGAAATACAAACTGGAAAAGAGGAAAGACAAATGTTAAGCAATTACTAGTCTCTATTTCACCAGGAAGAAACTCTGTCAGCAGTTTTGGTGGAAGGGATGAGATGATCATTAAAACGTTTCTCATCATTGGTTTACTCAGGTACTTAGAGGTGCACAGAACCCTTAGGTTGCTGGGGTCCTAATACCCAGTGCATGCCGGGAATGAACATTACCCCAGTGACCCACACACAATCCTCTCTGCTGTTTTCAAGTTTAAGCCGAGAGTGGACACGTGTCCTTGAAAGGGAACTCACTGTGACCTCATAAGGGACAGATTGGAGGCTGAAGCAAACGATCAAAATGTTCCTTATTCCAAGTACAACACCGAACCCTTAAGTGAAGCTTGGCAACTCCAAGAGGCCGTTGCGGCCCACGGGGTCCCTTCCCGGAATCTTTAAACAGTGATGAAAAAGGACAGAAACTCCCGCGTCTGTGGGCTTCCGGCCAAGTTTTCAACGTGATTGAGCCGATGCTTTCCCCTAAACGAGTCAGTTTCTAGGCCCGGGTAATAATTCCGAGGCCCTTGCTCCAGCGGACCCCGCCAGGAGGAGCACCCGCCCCCTCGGTTCCGTTGGGTTCAGCGCCGCCTGGCCGCCCCTTCCCGTACCTTCGCAGTCGCCTGGCCGCAGCGCCCGGCTGTTAGGCAGCACGCTGAGGGCCAGCGCTACCGCCAGCCCGCGCGTAGCCCACATCTCCTCTGCTGCCGCCGCCGCCACAGCCACCGCCACCGCCGCCGCCGCCGCGCGAATGAACCGCACCCGGCGCGGTGCGCCGCCTAGGGGGCTGGGACACAAACCGGAGCTTCCCATTGGCGGGCGGCCCCCGCGCCCACCCACATGCCGCATTCTCATTGGTCCACGTGCCCCGGAGCCCAGGCCGGCGGCTCCACGCTACCCTTCCTCATTGGCTGTGGCGTCCGGACCCTAGACAGTTGTCCGTTGCTGATTGAGCCTGGGCGGTCCATAGAAAGCGGCTGGGCGGAAGCTGCACGGTCGCCATATTGGGTAGGGGCAGCTGCTTTGGCTGCTGCAGGGAAGCCTCTGAATCTGGTGACTCGTCCCGAGTACCCCTTTTTGGCTCCACACCCAGTCCCCTCCCAGGCCCCGGACTCCTAGCGCAGGATTTCTGGCGTCACCAGACACCCAGCAGGATAAGCGGCGCGAGTAAGGATCAGAAAGGGTTGTTTTGAGCCACCACGTGTATTGGCGAACCAATCTTTTGAGAGCGTCCACCTTCATTCGCCAGCTGCCCACACCCCTCCTTATCCTGGGTCGGAATGCAGAACCTCCCAGACGAAAGGCTCCAGGCCTGTGAAAGTCGGCTGCTGTCCTGGACCTCTGAGGGCCTCCCAGTGGAGGCCAGGGGATCTTGGGAGGTTTTATGTCCCACTCTTGGAGATGCGCAGATGGGAACTGGAGATGTTACCGCCTAGACTGCACTCATACTAAGTGCAAGGACTTGGCCACTCGCCCTCGAGGGCAGAATACGGAGAACGGCCGGCTAAGTACAGAAAGGTATCTGGAGCTAAAAGGGCTTGGAGCCCGGCGACAAGGGTTTGAGAGGGGCACTTATGCTCCCAGTCAGTGAAATCAGTGGATCAATATCAGGTATTCATCTTTAATTCACATCACAGCAGTCAAGGGAGTGGGGAGTCAATTGGCAGATATTTACATCTAAAATTCACATTACTTGTTGGATTTATAACATGCTACCACAATATATACAGTAAAATACCTCTTGGGACACCGGCACAATTTTTTTTCTTTAACTTTTCTGGTACAGGTAAGATCATTTTAAAATCAGTTTTTCTTTAGACATGAATACACAAAGGAAATGGTTAGAAGTTTTCTTGTTTTAAATAAGCACAGAATGCCAGAGGTTAAAAACACATTTATAGGGCTTATTACCAATTAGACATCACACTCTATACATTTTTTGCTCAAATTCCTGTACAAATACACAGCATTCAAATAGGTATTTACAAATATGCTTGAAAGAATGAAAATCAGTATTTCACAATCTTTTCAAAGGATTTTGATCTCTGGCTTCCCATTTCCCTCACACTGGCTGGTTTTTCAATAGAAAGTATTCAGAATAGGTCCATTTCATCCAGTTGGGGAAAATGGAGAGGGACAACACAAATATATTTCATCTTGCATAAAGCAAGGCCAAGGAACTTAACCCTACACTCCCTTCCCTACCTTCTGTGTCACCAAGTGGAGAAGGTAGATGTCTGCATGTGATAATTGACTGCCTTTGTGGACTGAGGTTCAGATGTGCCTGGAAACCTAACGCTGCCCTACCTAAGAATCACATTCAAAGCAAGACTTTGACCCTCATACCTGTGAACCCAGACGGTCCAGAGACAAGCTTACCAATAGATGTAGGCTCAGGAGCAAGTGTGTGTGCCCTTGGAGCCAGGGCTCCCTGGACTGGCCTACATCCTCAGCAGTCTCTGCTCTCCTCTGCCTGGATGATCCTGAGGGTATCAGAAAGCCCTGCACTGTTGTACCTGGACCCCAGCATACTCTGGAGGAAAATGGGCCTTCTATCTTTTTCCTTAGGTTATTTGCTGGCAGTTCTATTGAACTTGTTTATAAGAGAAATACACCCTGGCCATGGAATTTTCTGTTTGGGAAAGAACTGTGGAAAAAGGATGAGCAGCTAGGCCCAGAACTTGGCCACAGGAGGCCAGAAGGCCAACAAGTTGAAGGGAGTAAGGGAGCAACATACCTGCTCACCAAGGAGAAGGTAGTCTTATGGCCATCACTGATGTGAATGTAAGCAAATGAAAGGAAAACATTGTCTCAAAACAGGTTATATTTTAAAGTAACTTAGAAGCACCCTGGTGAAATATTACCATACCCCCACCATAATACCAAGAGAAAAATCAGTGCCCTGACATGAAAGAATTTCCTATAGTCACCACTGTGCCCTGCCTAACAGACTGGGGAGGTTTGAAAAACTGCCCTTCTGCCCATCCTGAACCCTGAGTGGCGATCCCTATGGGTGTGGAGTGGAGGGTTCAGTACTTGGCTACTTGGAAGATAACAGTTTTACCTGTGTTGCTCTCTGCTTCCAAAATTAGTGTTCTCCCATCTTTTTTTTTTCTTTTTTAATTTAATTTTTTTTTAAATGTTTTAAACCCAGGAGCTTGCTGAACCTGACCACACATCCTCAGGGCCTGGAAGCCAGGCTGGGCAGCCAACCCCAAGGCTCAGAGGTAGTGCTGAAAATCCCTGATTCAGGCGCTAAATGGCAGGTGTTTGGGGCCACTTGTGAAAGCTAAGAGGCTTTCTGGCTCCTGCCACACTCCAGCCTCACTCTTACACCAGCTCTTTCTACTACAAAGGAAGGGGTCTGACTCCCTGCAGGAGTGACAGCCCTTCTAGCTTCATTTAATTCAAGCCCCAGGGCGTAAGAGATAACCCTTGCAAGTCCATTTGAGCCAGGGAGGCTTCTGCAGATCATGAGGTGTTTTGAGTGGAAAGGAGCGAAAGGTCCAAACTAAAAGTGACGACTAACGTCCAAAGTGGGATAAGAGACAAACAAGGCTGGCCCATGGAAGCCTGGCAGTGTGCCCTGGGCATGCAGTTAGGCCAGTCATGTGCCTGACCAGCCCCTCAGTTGCACACTCCTAGGTAAGAGTGGGCAGGTGGGCAAGCATTTGTGCAAAACGGCTTGTGGCCCCTTTGTCCACCAGTGACATGTAGTCCATGTGGTCCTTGCAATCCCTGAATGCAACCATGAGTTTTTCTGTCATACAGCAAAGGAAGAGGTCCCTAGTGCAATTTCCATTCTTCGCCATCTCTACCCTGAAAGGAGGGTCTGGGCTCTAACTCCTGGACTCTGCAATGCTGCCAAGCATTCTGTCTGTGCAATATCTCCATATAGCTCCATGTGGTCTGGAACTGCAGGAGGAAGAAAGCAACTACTGCGTAAAGGAAAACCCAGAAAAATGGAAACAAAAACTGAAATAAAAGAGAAGCCACAACCCTTCATGCTGCTGTGGCCTCTGGACATGGTAATACATGAGTTCACGGCAGTAGAACAGAGACTCTGGTGGTGTTCTCCTGAGTGCCAAGCCTCTAGCTCCCTGGGAGGGACTTGCTTTTCAGACCTGGAGTGCCTGGGCCAGCTGCTCATGGAAGGTGGTGGTACAGCTGCCTCTGCTCCTCACTGTTCCCCTCGGCCGTGCTCCCAGGCCATGCGGGCCTGCTCCTCCTTGGCGCTCCCAGGAGGCAGTGAGGCCTTTCGGTGCAGGCCTCTTGGCCTCTCAGCTTCCTCCCGCAGTAGCATACCCTCATCGTGCTCTAGGGCTGGCAGGCGGGGGTGGTAGGGCTTGGGTGGCAGCGCAGGTGGGTCCATGGGGTCCTGAGGGATGACACACCCTGGAGCTGAGTGGCTTCTGCATGGCTGGGACTTGATGGAGTCAAGGACAGCAGACTCAGAGAGGCTGTAGTGGACAGGGAGGTAGGGTGGCTCAAGGTCTTCATCGCCATTCCAGGCCTGGCTTGGCATGGAGTCCATGGTGTCTGTTCGAGGTGGGGCCTCTGAGGAGTGCCCAAAGTTACTCTCACTCAAGGAGGACACACCGCTGCTGGCACTGCCAGACAGCGTAGAGTTGCTGCCATCCAGGCCCGATTGGGGGCTTGTAGGGGAGGCTGGGATGGGGTGGAGAGGAGACTGTGCGAAGGAAAGGGTGGGTAAGTTAGAACCCCTCTAGACAGGTGGGCTGGCCTGCCATGTGGAGACCAAGAGTCTGCTTATCAACCGACTTTAAAATCTTAGCAGCTTCACATCTGTTTCTAAGTATCTCCCCCCAAAAGCAAGCTAGTGGAGCCCAGAATCACTATTATTTCTGAGGGCCAATAAATGCCCCTGCCTTGGCTGCTGGGCATTGATGCACCTGGGGCCAAGTCCCAGGTTGGGTATGGTCTGAGTTACTGACTGACAGGAGGGCTGGGTCATCAGGCAGAAGGAACCTGGTGGGCCACAGATCAAATGAATGTTAATCTGTTGCTAAAATCTGTCACAGACTTAGTCTTTTCCCATTTGCAGAAAAATCAAGCTAACAACAGGATTCAAATTTTACCTCTTGAATTTTTTGTAAAATTTTAGTGCCTGATATTTCTCATTTTCAGTTGGCAGTAGTTTTAAACTCTATAACCCACCACAGGGACATTTAATTAGCTACTGGACTACAGTGTGTTGAGACCCCCAAGTTTCTCAATGCTCCCTACACACATTGTCTTGTTGTCAAGTGTTGTCCACAAGACCCTCTGCTCTCCCTGCCCTCATCACATTCGTTGCAGGATGCATGGGTCGCCTGCTGCTCTAGTGTGGCTCTGGCCACCCCCAGCTTCTGCCAGCTTAGGCTCTCAGGACAGAGGAGCAGGGGAGGCAGGTTCCTCTTGTAGGCCCCAGGGGTGATCCTACAGCAGATGAGGCGGTAGGACAGTTGCTTCAGTACATTACCTTGCGCAGGGTCCGGGCAGGGAGGGCTGGGGGGGCATCACCCAGAGGGTGGTGGAAGGCGTCAAAGTGTAGGGAGTAGTGACCTGTAAAGGGAACAGAACCACAGCCTCAGCTGGGGACCCTTGCATAAGCTGCACGGCAGCATGACCTTGCTGGGCACTGGGCAGGTGTGGAAAAGTCCCCAAGAACACCTCAGCATTGAAGGCCACAGAAAACCTTCTTTTATACTGACAGTCTGTAAAACACAGGTCGCTGGGGTAATTTTACACAGGAGGCCGGGAAGGTTGAGACAGGCTTCAGGCAGGAGATGGTCTAGTCCGCTGGCAGGTTGATGGCAGACTGGTGAGTGGTGTATCTGGCATGGTTGATTTTGTCTTCAGCCTCCCTGGCTGGGATGGCTTTACTGAGCTAGCTTGCAGGACTCAAAATCTTTATTGGCCCCAATGTTCAGCAGGCTCCTTTCTGTGGTATGGATGTTTTGTTCCTTGGCTGAGATGGCCTAGACAGCTGCTGATCTAGCCCTTGGTCAAAGTTTGAGACCAGAAACTATTTGGGAGACCCGCTTACCATGCAGCAGGCTTCGGGGAGGCACTGGGGGGGCCAGGATGGGCCCCATGAGGGCAGACAGGAAGGGCTGTGCCTCTTGGGCTCCGCTATCCAGGCTCCAGCTGCTGGGGGCTGCTGGCACCGCTGAAGGGTGGAAAGAGATGGAGTGAACGGAGGTTACTTCTTGAGCTTCCCATCTGGAGAAGCTGCCCTATAGCCTGAAGCTTCTCTGGGTGAGCTCTGAGTAGCCAGCATACAAGTGGCATGTCAGGCCCTACAGCTGAAAACATTGGCCAAGCAAGGAAGGCACTGTGACCTAGAGAGACGACTGGCCAGTGATTGAAGCTGCCTGTGATGGCATGAGTAAGCTGATTTCTGAAGAGTGTTGGGGAAAAGGCAAACTGAGAGAAAGTACAATAAGGAGTAAACACCTGCAGACTCTGGCATCTGTCAGGAGAAAAACCAGAAGACCACAGGAGAGAACAGGGCAGGCTGAAGAGGTCAATAACACACAGAGCACAGGACACAGAGCTCTTCCCAAGTCAAGAATTAGCCAGGGTCCTTGCAGTGCCCATGCCCTGTGTGAAAAGCCGGGAGCAGGACAGGAGATAAGAGGCAGTGTCCTTTGAGAAGCAGCTCCGCTAGTTCCACAAAGGGCCTGTGGTGGCACTTAGAACAGTGGCCCATCCCTGTTTTTCTTAGGCTCACTGGCTGGTTTAAGAGCAAGACATTTTCACAGCAAGGAGAGGTATTTAAGGTACTCACTGGAGTAAAGTTACAAAGCCCAGGAGTTTCAGCCTAGACCCAGGGGAACACACTGCTTCCTGAGAAAGGAGGAGGCAATAAAGTCCATGGATGCAGAACAGAGCAGGCCCCAGACAGAGCAGTCAGGTGCCTCAGTACTGGCTCTTTGGCTACAGCTGGGGTCAAAGTTCTTTGTAAAGGAGAGAAGAGCAGTGGCTACACTTCACAGTCTGGGGTTTGGCTACTCTGCAGGTGCAGAGAAGGAAATGTGAAGCATGTTTAATTGATTCTCTTCCGAGAACAAACATGCTATCAAGAAGAAACATGCCTCTCCTCTCATGGGGCCTTTTGGAAAGGCAGCCTATGTAGAGTACAAATGTCTAGTACGGGTTCAGTTTTAAGGCAGTGGTAGCTAAAGGGAGCTCAATGTATCCAAGGTTTGGGCTTTAATGGCCCAGACACTCAATGGAGAATTCCAAGGCCTGATGGGAGCTGGGGAGTCTCTAGAAAGAGTTGGACTCTGGCCTTTGAGTAGGATATGGTCCAAAGCGCTGGGACCAAGGCCTTCCATGGATGGAGGGATGACATTTTTCATCTCTCTGCTCAGGGGCTAGCATGGGCTTACAGGTAAAACTTCAATTACAAGGACTACTTAATCTCATGATATATCGATGGCTAATAGCAGGAAGAAGGCATCTGAATCTGATGAGTAGCCACTGAGCTGTTACCTGCAGGAAAGAATTCTGAATCTGATAAGAATCAGATGGCTTCCTCAGAAAGCCTGAGCTCAAGAATAGGTGTATCCTCTCCCAGGTTCTCCAAGATCTAGCAGGGGCTTCTTGTTTCTAAGCACCCAAGCTCTCTTCCCCCAAAGATGACATTTTCAATGAAAGCCACAGGTCTTGGAAGCGGCAGCTTAGAGACGACCCCAAGAAGCTTCTCCAAAAGGACCTGACAACCCAAGACCTCAGACATGTCCTTAACTCCTGAAAGAACCAAATGGGCTGCAAAAGTTTACCCCAAGGGTCCACGGGAACTTGAGGTTGGGGACACTCTAGGGGAAGAATGCTAGGAAGGCTGTAATGGTGTGCTTAGGATGGTGTCTGGGTGAGTCATTCCATGTCAATCAGAAACCACAAATCTGCAGCGAGGCCAGTGGACCTTTGACATGTGGAGTGGCCAAGAGAATGATTTATTCTAGGAGAAGAGCAATAAGAGCAATAACCACTGTGTCCTGTCATCTATCAGCATTAAAAGCTCCTCAGCATTGGCCTGAGGTTCCCAGTGCACAGTCCCTGACCTAAGGGCAGGCTTGTCTTGTCTGGGAGGGACTGGCAAAGAAAAGAACCTACAGGTGAGAGGTAGGTTTCGAGGGGGACCCAGGAGTTATTCTGGCCTGTGTATTACCAATGGGAAGTTGTCTAATGTGTTGCCATTAAGTGCTGACCTTGTAGTTTGGATAAGGTAGCTCTGGGCTCAGCTTTTGTTCTCAGACACCTAGGGTGGGCGTGTCCAGCTCCTTGCTGCAGTTAGCTTGAGGCCTGAGGCTCTTCTGTGTCCAGCTGATGTAGCATCCTGGTCTGACCACCGATACTCATTTGAGCTCTGAGCTGTGTGACTCTTGGCTAGTTTTGAGATTGCTCTGCATCTTAGGTGAAGAAAACCCACTGTGGATTCTGGCTTTCCAGGCAAAAAGGCCCACTGTTTTGGGGTCATAGGTGCAGGAATCCAAGAAGCCACTTTTTCAGGATGTGCAGCCTTGAGGTTAGGAAGTCATCTTCAGTAGGGCCTTTGTGGCTGAGCATCTGGCATTAATGCCCACTAGGAACCAAGGTTTTGGACCCAGTGTTTGGACTCCTTAAAAACAATCCTCTACAACAACCAAGAGGGGTAACAATGACAGTGGGGAGAGCAGACAGCACTTGGTAAGCAGGTGCAATGACAACATGATGAAAGCTTTGAAGGGACATGGTCTGATGGGCTCAGGGACGATAGACTATATTGGTGGGAAGTGAATATGCACTAAACACCGCGGATGGAAGAGAGGCGAGGACTATGGGACCAGGTTCTGGTGGACAGACAAGCTCAGCATGGTCCCCATGTAGGTACTGCTGTGCTAAAATTAACTTGGGTGTCTGGGGCTTCAGTCAAGGTTATAGAGGTTGGATGCTGGTTCTTACATCAGCTTGTAGAACACAAGGTAACGAGTCACCATCTATATAGCTACAGCTCTAGGGAGAGTTTCTCAATGGCACGGTGTAGTACAGATGGACCCAGTAGTCGCTAGCCAGAGTGGCTAAACAAATACTGGACTTCACTGAAGCACCCGGAGTTTTCCCTGTAGAAACTTACTTTGGGGAAATACACTGTAGTATATATTTTCTATTCCTTTGGGGCTTTCCTTGGCCACAGTCCATTCTGAGCTCCATGGAGAAGTTTCTGAAGCCCCAGAGGGACCACTAGCTTTACTAAACTCTAGAAGTTGTTAGGAAGGACTTAGGAGAGTAGATACCCACAGCAGCCTGCATTATAACGAATTACTCAAGGCAGATGGCAGCTGGGCCTCTCTGAGGGTGGGCCCTGGAGAGAGGGAGATACAGACAGACAAACAGGATCCAGGCCAGGTGTGGTCTAAAAGGTGACCTGAGGTTTGGCCAGCACTATGTCTAGGTAGACAGACCTGGGCACTGGGCTGTGGCTCAGGCCTGGACAGTTGGTAACTCGAGAACAAGAGTCAGACACTCAAGATGGCACAAACATGGGAGAGCTCCTAGAGAGAGGAGAATACCTTTTTCAGCCATAGACAGATTGGGATCACTGCAGGGTTTGCAGGCTCCAACTACTTGCTGGAACAGGGCCCGCTGGAAGTTTGGTGGCTGAAGGAAGGAGAAAAATATCAAAGAGTGTAAAAGCAGCCAGATAACATCTGGGAGGCAGTGTTATGGACTACAGGAGCCAGAATGTTCTAAGCTCAGATGAGGATATCAAAGCAGTAAAATGGCTCATGCTTGAGATATGCTAAGATCTTCACACAGCTCTGGGAAGGCTGTTACAACAGTCTAGGTATATTTGGATCTGAGCACTTCCATGGATATTTGAGACATCACCCAGGTTGTCTTGTGCAGGACATAGGTACCTTCCATTATTTAACTGTCCCATCTTTCTATTTGCCAGGGAGACCACTGACAGAAAGGATTTGAAGACCCTGTCTGCCCCGTGAGCACTGATAGGTCTTAATTCTTGGAAGGCCCACCAGGTCCAGGTTAGCGCTGAGGGGAAAGGCAGCACCAAAATCTGGAGTCTGGCAGGTCCCAGTCTTCTGAGCTTCTCCTGTCAGATCTGCCCTCGGCCTGGCAGAGGGATGCCTCTGAGAAATTCCTGGCACTTGGGCCTAGGCAGTTACTTGGAAGTGACTTTTATGGGTTTAGATAGAAAGGCCGGGGCAAACTACACAGGGCTAAGTGTTATTTGCTGGTCCAAGCAGGGTGTCTAGAGAACTAAGTGTGGAGGGCAACCCTAGCAAGACACACAGACATCCTCCTACCTATGTTTACTACAGTCTCCTTGGGATGTTATAAAAACCAACATCTTATGCCAGAGGAATGGGGAATGGGTAGTTCAGAAAGCTGGCCAGAGATTTAGGAAGCCTCCCAGGCAGGTGCAGTTCCAACCCTGCCACCAGTCTACTCATGCCTGCACTCTGACTGGATTTCTGGCCCTCAGATTCACTGTCCTCCCCAACTAGGAGTCCAACAGCTTCCTTATAACAGAATGAAGGAGGCATGCAAGACTGTGCATGCAAAGGTTTAGCAAATGCAATGAGGGAGCCCAAGCCAACACACTTGTAGCAGAGGACAGATAGTCAAGGCTGGGTCTGCTACCTGTCCATTTTCTAGGATGGCTGCTGGATACATGGCACTGCTTGGGCGGTCCCGATGTGTGGGCAACAGCAACATCATTTCCCGGGCATGTCGGTACTTATCTGGCAGAGAGGGAGAGCCTGTAACCAAGTGAGAACAATCACGAACAGATGACAAACCACAGATGGAGGGCTCAGTGGCCAAGCATCCTTAGGACTGGGACCAGAGTAGGTGTCTCTTACAGTTAGGGTGAACTCAGCAAAACCCAGGAGGAGTGAAGCAGATCTAGTGACTCAATGGTGAAGACTGTATCTGGTATCTTGGCTGAGGCACACCCACTGACAGAGGCTACCACCATACCCAGAGGCAAAGGGTAAGGAGAGTTGAGGCCTGGTACAGAGTGCTTGGGGTTTTTGAACCTTGTGTTCTCAGGGTAGAGGTGTAGCCTGAACTGGGCTTTTCCAGAGGACCCAGGTATGAGCCAAGGCCAGCTTGTGATAGAGCCATCACACAAAGACAAGAGACACTTGGAATAACAACCACATAGTTCTGACTTGACATACTGGGTCTACACACACTTACCTTCTCCAAACACCAGTGGTTCTATTTTCAGCTGGCTTCCAACTACCTTTTTGGCATATCCCTTCCAGGTGGTAGGTTCCCACTGCCTTGATTCTGCCTACCTGTAGGGCCTATTACAGCTCTAAAGCTAGGCTAGTTGGAAGCCCAGGGCCCTATATGCAGGTGGTCTGATACTTGCTGGCCCTTGAGTTCAGGGACATGGAACCAACCTAGAAGGCAAGGGACTTGGACCCAGGCTCCCCGCCTCCCCTTGAGACAGGGTTTCTCTGTGTAGCCCTGGATATCCTGGAACTTACTCTGTAGACTAGGCTGGCTTTGAACTCAGAGATCTGCCTGCCTCTGCCTCCTGAGTACTAGGATTAAAGGTGTGCGCCACTACTGTCCAGCTAGACAAAGGCTCTTGAGTTGACTTATTTCATGCTATTTTCTTTTGTTCCTTTTCATGTCATTTTTAATGAAGCCACTGCAGTGATTGCTGGCTGAGGTGCTATTAAAGCATTGAGGAACTTCCCATCTGTGGTTCTTAAGGAAACTTCCTATAGAAACAGTAAGATAATATCCTGGCTTTCCAGTGGTAGGGTAACATGAAGTTCTACAAATGCACACTATTCATTACATCTGACAACTGACTACCAGTCCCTCCACAGCAAAGTCATCCGGACCGCGATGCTTCTGGCTGACTCAGCTCTGAGAAGCTGGACAGTGGAGACTAGCCCATGGGCTCCAGCTGAGAGGTGAGTCTGTACTTCCTAGAGGGCCTGTGAGTCCCTGAAACCCACTGTCTCTGGGGCTCTCCTCTGGGCCTGTGGTGCTGGTACTGTTAAAAAAAAAAAATCCAACAAATCAAAGCAAAACCAGATCTTCAGTCAGCTCACTGCAGGAGTCCTTGAGAGTCCAGGTGTTCATTTCAGTCCAAAGGTCTGCATAAATACCAACAAGGTAGCTTTTCCCACAGCTGTTTGGAGAAAACCTCTGGGCTGGCTTTAGGACTTTTTATCTTTTATAACATCTTCATTGATAAGGGAATGCATAGAGTATGGCTGTTTTAAAAATTTGAATTGTTTTGTCTTGTGGCTTTACTCATATTTATCTTCCCTTTTAAAATTTGTGCTTTTAGGCAATCTCAAGAAGATGGCTATGTAAAGAAAAGAAATTTTATAAAAAGCTCCAAATCCCACTGATCTGTCTGTGCCTTCCCAGTTGAGAGACTGTGAATGCCCCTCAGCCCTGTGGGCAACCTCCAGACATGACTCTGCAAAGGACAGAAGGAACACCACTCTGACATCAACTCACTCAGAAAGTCTGTCTGTTTCATGTCTGTTCTACACTAGGCAGAGGGTTGGAACTGCTTGCCTCAGACTATGTTCTCTCACCTCAGGAAGCCTGGCTCATGAGACCAACTGTGCATCCACATGTGCTGCCTTGATCCATACTGGGCTGGGATGGAGGACATCATCCTGAAGGCCTAAGGGCTCTGGTGAGGACTTACATGCAAGTCGTGGTGGTCCCTCGTGTGTTCTAACAAAGGAGTACTGCGCACTAATTTTCTTCAATCAGCTGTCTCACTTTCCTATGTCCTAGGCAGCCAATCCCTTGGTGGGACAGGGTGATGTTAACTTTCATGAATACATTTAAATACCACGAGGGCTTGTCTGCTCATGGAGCTTTTGAACTACTTCAGTTGAACAGGGAAATTGGGTCCTAGTGCCACTGGATTACAAATCTATTTCCCAGGCCTAATCAGCTTTTTGACCAGCAGGGGGAGCCACGGACTTACAAGAATTTCAACTGTACTTTGCAGCCACTGGTCTCAGAGATTCCAGTTACAGGAACCATACAGCATAGCGCATCAATGAGTATGTCAAGGAAGGTCAATGGTCTTATGATCAAGGAGGAAGGGGATTCCATTCAAGCTTTTCCCTCACTAGTAACAAGGAACATTAATGAACGAACAGACCCCTCACTGCCTTGTTTATCAAGAATGCATCCATTATTACATTGCCACATATACTTGAAAACATCAGTCTTACCCCTATGATTTTGTAGAGTTCTTTTTTTTTAAATTTATTTATTTATTATGTATACAGTGTTCTGCCTGCATGTTTGCCTGCAGGCCAGAAGAGGGCACCAGATCTCATTACAGATGGTTGAGAGCCACCATGTGGGTGCTGGGAATTGAACTCAGGACCTCTGAAACAGCAGCCAGTGCTCTTATTATAACAGCTCAGAGATGCTGAGCCATCTCTCCAGCCCCTTGTATAGTTCTTAAAAAACAAACAAACAAACAAACAACTATTTATTTTAAAAACTATTACTACTCTACACTGTGTGTGAGTGGAGGTCAGGGAACAACTTCTGGGAGTCCATTTTTTCCTTCCACTGTGGGTACTGGGGGTTGAATTCAGGTAATGCAGGCCTGTGTGACAAGTGCTTTTACCCACTGAACCATCTCACTGGCCCCACACAGTTTGTCTTCCCCAACAGGTCCAACACTGTGCCTGACAGACATCTGGGCATGCAACTCTTTCCAGATTGACTGCTATATAGACTCTATGAATGCTGTAGTCCAAGTGTAGTCCAAAGTCCAAGTGTAGTCCAAAGCTTCCTTTCTTTCTTACTGTTTCTGCCCTTGCTATTAGTTCCCTGATTTGGGCCAAGTTCTATTTAACGATTTTGTTGATTTATACAATTAATGCCTCAGAGGGGGGAAGAGGCTTTTCTTAACTTTCCTCTGTGTAACAGTTTGGAATTCAGCCATTATGAGGGTTTGTCTCTAAAAATGGTGATCATCAATGACTTCCTTTCTCAACTATATGTTCCACTCCTCATAGAACATCCTGTTAATTCAGAGTTCTAAGAAATAACTGTTTTAAGATATCTAAATTTTGAGAACACTTTATATTATGCAGCATCAGACAACAAAGACATTAGAAAGAAAAAGATACCCAGGAGAAATTTTCCTCTGTTTTACTCTGATGTGCTCATTAGAAAAGAGCCATGCAGATTCTCCACTGAGCACTCAATAAAAGCTTATGAGGGACCAAATCAGTTACTAGTTTGCTAGAAGGACAAATGGATGGTGTAATATGGCTAATCTTATTGTTATTGGATTTAGGATCACCTATAAGTCAGGCTTCTGGGTGTAGAGAGGTCTGAGGAGGGAAGACCCAGCCCATGGGCCAGAGACCTAAGCTGAATAAACAGAAAAACAGGAGGAAGCCAGTGAGTGACCAGCTGCCTTATACTCCTGCTGCAATACTTTCAGACTGTGAGCCAAAATAAACCCTTCCTCAAGTTGCTTGTCAGGTATTTAGTCATAGCAGTGAGAAAAGTAACCAATACAGGCGGTAACAGCTAGCCTGGAATGTCTCTAATAGCAGCCACAGCACAGAGGAATATCAAACAGTCTCAGGGCTGGAGAGATTGCTCAGTGGTTAAGAACACCTGTTGCTCTTCAGAAAACCTGAGTTTGGTTCCTAGCAACGCCATCAAGCAGCTCACAACAGTCTGTAACTCCAATTCCAGGGAATCTGATAGTATCAGAGTAATACTGAGTTAAAATATCCATCATTTGATGCCTTCTGTTTATCAATAATCATGAATCTGCAAGAATAACCAGATAAATCTGGGAGGTGGTAGAGCGTGTCTTTAATCCCAGCACTTGGGAAGCAGAGGCAGGCAGATCTCTTTGAGTTCAAGGCCAGCCTGGTCTAAAGAGTGAGTTCCAGGACAGCCAGGACTAAACAGAGAAACCCTCCCTCAAAAAACAAAAACAAACAAACAAAAAGTCAGAAAAAAAGGAATAGCCAGATAAAGTCTTAGATATGGCTGAGCATATCTCAGAGACTTCAGGTTAAGGAATACAACAACAATTCCTAGATGGTATTATGGAATTTGTATCTGCAGGTCTAATCAGGGCACTTACACAAGACACTGGAAATACCAATGTCTAGACATTCCCAGCTATTTTGTGGGCTTTTCTTCCGTTCTATTCCCAAAGCCCTCTTTTCATAATACACAGTCCTGTCTCAGTTTGCAGCCTTCATAGATTGTGTTCCCTAAAGTTGGCCCCTCTTGTCTGGATCCCATAGTTCACATTAGGAAAGCAATATGTGCTATGGGATGTTCTGTATGGCAAAAGTGTTGCTGATTGGTCAATAAATAAATCACTGATTGGCCAGTGGCCAGGCAGGAAGTATAGGCAGGACAAGGAGGAGAATAAAGCTGGGAAGTAGAAGGCTGAGTGAGAGACACTGCCAGCCGCCATGATGACAAACAGCATGTGAAGATGCTGGTAAGCCACGAGCCACATGGCAGGGTATAGATTTACAGAAATGGATTAATTTAAGATGTAAGAACTAGATAGTTAGAAGTCTGAGCCATTAGGCCAAACAGTTTAAACAATGTAAGTCTCTCTGTTTACTTGGTTGGGTCTGAGTGGCTGTGGGACTGGCAGGTGAGAGAGATTTGTCCTGACTGTGGGCCAGGCAGGAAAACTCTAGCTACAAATATGGGTAGTAGAATAAGCAGACTGAGGGCTGCTAACTGTAAAGAGCTGTACCCCATATTCAGCATTCAATTCCTCACTGAACCTATGGACAGTCAAAAGGTGCTTTAAATTGAAGCCTGTGACTGCTCTACTGCAGCCTCACTCACTTCCCTCCACGTTGCCAATGTTTTCCCTACCTGGCCACTGCATCTTTCCACCAGGCCACATTACATTGATTCTTTCCATCTTGTCTACTGTGGGCCTCACAGACTTGTATACTTTGGAGAGAGTTGGGCTTTGTTCTTTGTATACAAAATAATCAGAACAAAAAGAACCTATTCTTCTGAAGCCTGAAATCAATAGCCAGTGAGTGGTTGACAGGCTCAGACCACTGTGTGCATGGCAAATATTTCAGTGGGAAAGAACTGAGATTTTCCTGGATCATGTCTTTTACTGAGTAGAGATGCAATACTGGCTACCAAGTAGCAGCACAGCAGCGGATCCTGCCAGAGCAGGAGTTAAAGTCAGCTAGAGAGGTGACCCAAACCTTCAAGTATGGGTGCTGAAAGACAAGCATTCTCTAACACAATGATAGGGGTTGCTAGGCAGGAAGAGAGAGAATGAACAGTCTCTCAGCAGCCATCAACTTTGCAGGCATCATTTAAGGCATATAAATATCAATGTCAGAGTCTTCTCTGACAAATACCATGATCAGTGGGTAAGTAATACCCTGGTAGATACAGAATTAAAGACTACTAAAAGGAGACCAATTTTACACACTATATGGGAAAATCTCCATGATGCTTATAACATTTCCAAGTGCTGGCCTCCCATGGATACATTAAAAATAAACAATTCTGACCCTTCAGTAAATGATGAAGATCCACAAACTGGTTATAACTGAGGTTAGAGCTAAATCAGTGGCAAGGGGTCCAAACTGGCCTCAACCAAACAGAAGGTAAATTGACAGCGATGTATGCTGTTGTTTACTCATTACTGGCTCAAAGCTAAGAAATCTAGAAGGTAAAACAGAAAACAGTTAATTCAGGTAGTTATTACTTCTATCTTGGGTGTGCCCTAAATTCTCGGCTACCCAGAACCATTTTTAGCTAACCACAAGGCTAAACCAAACTCAAATATTTCCTCGTTAGTGGGCCCAGAAGGTGGAACACTGCTCTTACATGCAAGGCCTATGTCACTCTTTAGGAAGGCAATTTTGCTCCCCATCAATAAGAACTACACAAGCAGGCAAAGCATGGTGGCACTCTTTTAATTCCAGCTTTTGGGAGGCAGAGGCAGGTGGATCTCTGTGATTTTGAACCAACCTGTTCTACACATTGAGTTCCAGGCTAGCTAGGGCTATATAGTGAGAATCTATCTCAAAACAAAATCCAAAATAAAAAACACCCCCCACATACTCCAAAAAGGCTCTGGACACTCAGTTCTCTCTTGTCCTCACCTTGTTTTCCAACGCATCTTTGTTACTTTTCATTCTATTAAAGATATAACTTTTTTTCTCTTCTCTTTCCATCTCCCTTTTCTGGACAGCTACTCAATCCTAAACCTACTTCTCTGATACTCTGGGCATGTCCTCTCCTAGTAATCCTGTCCCAATGATTTCCACTCCTCACTACAGCTTCTTGTAGATTTTCACTGCTGAACCTACCTGCTTTCTTGACTTCTAACTGAGAAAGAGTAACTTTCTCTTTCCCCCTTCCACCTCTCTCCTTCAGGCAGCTGATGGGAACTCCAGCTTGCTTGCCCTGTTATTTTCTCGAATTCTAATAAAATTGTCTTTGATTTTTCTTCTAAGTCTGCTTTAAATTTTTTTTTTTTATCAATCTACAAAAGGTGACAAGGTCACTCTCACAGATAAGGTACAGCTGAAAGAAAGACAAGTGGGGTTTATGGAACTTTCCATTCTCCTTCAGCAAGCAGCATCCTGTCATCCTTACCTCGGGTGCTAGAAGGGGCAGAGGTAATCATCTGGGATGGTGCTGAATGAGTAGAACTCAGGCTGGAGGAAGAAGGGCTTGCCTGGGATGAGGATAGAACAGAGACGTTGGTGACTGAGCCCTGGTACCTGGGGTTGTGATATGCAAGCTGCAAAGGAAGAAAAATCAGCATTCTGAATGATCAGTACTGTAAAGCTGGCAGAGAGAGAGCTGGCTTATGCATTCATGTCCTGAAATCCCCAGACCAAGTGACTGATGCTGTATTCTGGACCCTGCTGGAGGCTGGACTAATGGCAAGCACTAAGGACTACCCATACCACCTACAGAAGCGGACAGTTGTGTTGGCTCTATTGTGTTGTACATGGAAAAGAATGCAGGACTTAGCCATCAAGACTGCCAAGCCCTTTGCATGGCGAGACAATTGTGTAGCTTGATATGCTTGGGGGGGCCCCCTGGCGGTAGGATCAGAATCCATCCCTGGTGCATGAGTGGACTTTTTGAAGCCCACTACCTATGACTGGACACCTTGTGCAGGAGGAAGGGCTTAGACTTGCCTCTACTGGATGTGCCTCCCCATGGGAGGCCTTGTCTTCTTGTGGGTGGGAGTGGAGGGGTTGGAGGGGGAGGCTGGGGGTGGCGGGAGGAGGGAAGAGGGGGTCTTTGATTGGTGTGTAAAATGAATGAAAAAAATTTCTTAATTAAAAAAAAATGACTGCCAAGCAGGAGGCTAATTTGGCAGAAGACCTTTGCCATGCAATCTGTAATAGCAGCTAGGTCTGAAAATAAAGGTCTGCTTGTAAAATAAGGCATGGGAACTAAGACTTGGGGTGGTATGTAGAAAGAAGGCTGCCTTGCTAGCTATTGAAAGGTGTGTTCCTGAATCCAGGAACTAGGGAACTTGATAGAGTGTTTCCAGCCACCAGACCAGACTCCAGAAAGGGGAGTCTTTTAGCCATGATACCCTGCTCATTCTTGCACAGCTTCAGTACCTGCATGTGGTGGTAGAGGTCTTCAGGAGCTTCACCCATAGAGCTGTCACCCATCATCACCATGTTTCCGGCTTCACTAGATGCATGTGAGGAGAGAGAGGATGATGAATGGCGGCCTGTGCCCATTAAGTTCATGGGGCTGTGAACAAGAGAAGGAAATAGGGAGGAATCAGGCAATAGCTAAGAAAGCATGCTAAGCAGTAGGAGCAATGGAGAGATTTGTGGAACAGTGACACTCAACCTTAGACAGCACCGGCTGGGAGGATTCTACAGCCAGTGTTCCCATCTGTCTGAGGCCTAGAGGAATCCTGGGAAGGCTTATGCTAGTACAATCTCTCCTTAGAGTTAAATGGATTATAGCCATTCAGCGTGAAGGCACTAGCAGTATATCAGGAGGAATGAAAGAGAGAGATGATAAATTACGTCAAGAATCCTATATCCTTGTTTCTATGGAATGTTTGTCTGAACAGTGCCTAATCCAGCACACACTTATGAGATCTGCTCTGAGATCAGGAGTCTTACTGGTGTGAAGACACTATCAAAAGAGATAGTTGTAGACTCTGTGGGTTTCTGCCCGTATCTGTGGCTACAAGTTTCCCAACAACTTTCCTCTATCAATACCAGGAGGCCCTTTTGCTCATTTGTTCCTGTTCTCATTTGCTAAGTGGCTACTATTCTGGGTTGCTGCTTATGCTGGAAAATAAATATAAGTGAGAGACTCCTTGTACTGGCTTCCTTTCCTAAACCTGGCTTCCCTGTCCTAAAGGTTTTGAATATTCCCACTTAAGCCTGCTCAGGCCAGAACTCTTGAGTCTTGAGCAGTTATTACTTAAATGCCCATACCACCAACATTAAAAACAATCAACGATCTTCATTTTCTTTGGGGTCATGTCCAAAGGCACATTATGAACAAGGCCCATCCCAAGCTGCTCCTGCCCCTCTTCCATGCTAAGGAATCCTGCACCTCTGCCTTTTACCTCTACTCACAGTACTGGCCAGGCTGCCTTGTTCACATCACACATGTGTAAGTTCTTTTGCCTGGATCTTGTCCCATCACTCTTCTAACCTGGACTCTTTACTGCCTAGCAAACTTCTGTCTGTCCTTTAAGACTTATCCCAATGTCCCCTTGGCTGTGTACCCAGAATACCATGTGTATGCTTCTGTTATGTAGGATGGTGGCTGATTAGATGCAGGTCAGATGCCACTGACTGACTAGTACAGGCGCTGCTTGAGGCAAGGCTTGGGGATAGGGATAAGAAGGGATGTGAGCACACAGAAGTTCTCTCTGCAGCTCTTCTCTTATCTGATGCTTACCCTCCAGACCTACCTCTCTGGAGGTCCCTACTAGCATACCTGTGCCTGTGGGTCATCTTGATGTTCTCAGGGCTCATGGGACTATGGGATGCCAGAACATTTCCCCGTGGGGTGCTGGTGCCCGAACATGCAGGACTTAGCTTATCCAACCCGGGAAACTCCTGTTGAGAAATGAGTACTTGTTCATAGAGAGCAATGAATAGGTAAGTAAGGGGTAGGAGAGATGAGTTGACAGTTGGTGAAAATTTAAAACAAATGAACAAACAAAAATAGAACTATGATATACTTCTGCTTTCTTTTGGACAATCACATCTTCATTACTAAACACTCCGGCAAGTGTACTGGAGCCTAGACCAGATGCTCTGGAGCCCCAGGTAAAACTCCACTGAGAGACACATCTGGAATAGGCTAAAGTGAATCACAGGAGAGTGTTAGCAGGCTTCGTCACTTCACAGTAAGTAGAACAGTGACTGGGAAGGAGGAGAGGAAGAACTTATCAGCTGTCAGTCAGTGCAAACTCTTATATAAGAACTGGTGCTGGGTTTTATTGGATTGCCAAATGGCTCAGTTCTTAGTGACCTGAGTTAAGTTGCCTGTGGCACAGTCTATAGGGAAACAGGAAACAAAGTCCTAATGTAAGTATTTGAAAACAGCACAGTTTTATTTTAGCATAATTAAATTCTTACTAAGTATGTAGACTTCTTGGCAGAAACTTTTTTCTTTTTCTTTCTTTCTTTCTTCCTTCCTTCCTTCCTTCTTTCTTTCTTTCTTTTTTTACAGAGCTAAAGCCTAAGAGACCAGAGCAAGAGCCACGACTCCCTTTATCTTACCACTGCTGCCGTCCTTCCCCTGAGAGAGAGACCTTCTTCCTGTGTCCTGTCTTTTTATTGCCTTTCTGTTTTGCCTTCTCATTGGCTCTAAACCCAAACACATGACTTCCTCGTCACTTTGGCAGAAACTTCTAATCTAACTTCCCACTGGGTGACAGAAAGCATTTTGGTCTCTGTCTCTGCTACAATGAGGAGATTTTGTTGTTTTTGGTTTTTTTTTGAGACAGGGTTTCTCTGTGTAACAGTCCTGGCTGTCCTGGAACTCACTCTAAAGACCAGGCTGGCCTCAGACTCAGAGATCTGCCTGCCTCAGTCTCCCGAGTGCTTGGATTAAAGGTGTGTGCCACCACTGCCTGGTGACAATGAGGAAATTTTAATGCATAACTTTATCCAGGTTTTCTTAAGTTCTTCATAATATATGATGGAAAAAAGATCTTGTCTACTGGGTATGTTTCTGTGCTAGACTTAAAGTGGCAGAATTTCCAGTTTCTTCTTCCAAAGCAGGCATAGTGTTACAGTGTGTTTCTGCAATGTGCACAGTAGGGACCTTGATGTGTATAGACAAGCATTTTGTGCTTTTGTTGCAGTGATGTGACTACAGAGATGTGGCAGGAAACCTCCCCTGGTGCCAGGCTCTAGACTGCCTGGGCTGCCAGGTGGGATGGGAAGTCTGCATAGAGCACAGAGCAGCCACATTGGCAGGAACCAGTGTAATAAGATGGAATCCCCATCAGACTCAGTAATGCTACTCAAGTTCTTTACTAGCCAGCCACCTCAGTTTTAAAGGGGAAACATTTATGTTCTGCATGCTTCACCTTGAAAGACCACGGGAGAACCCCACCAAGAAGAACTTTGGTGAGCTGTAGAAATTTCTCTGCAAAGTGGGCCAGTCTCTCAAACTATGATGAACTTCTTTTCCTGTTTTGCTTTTCATGCTGTCTCCTCTTGCAATGAATGGCTGAGGCCTGCACTGAGTCTGGAGGGACTAAGAGAACTACAACCCAAAGCATCCAAGAACAAAGTTGGCCAGTTCCGAGTGGGACAGGCTCACTGAGTCCTTGGATGAACCTCCAGGCTTTTATGTCATCTCTAAAGAGGGAACTTCTCTATGACAGCATGGTGCAGCATCTGACAGCTATATTTGTTTCCCTAATACTTATACCTGATGGCCCTCAGTAAGATGAGAAGAAAGCTTGGCAGGCAATTTGGCTCATGGCCACTAACGCCTGGAGCCAGGATATTTAACAGAAAGTCTACTCTAGAAATCATTTAGAGTCAGCCTTGCAGTTAAAAATTGGATAAGGGTATGGGACGTGAACAGAGCCTGGGGATTTCAGGGCTACCTGAATCTCATCTCCAAGCAGTCATCATTCCATGTTAAGACCATGCCAAGGAAAGCTGATCCTGGAATACAGGTCCTGCCTGTGTGCATTAGTTCTTGGGCCAAACCTACCATGGAGGGTGAAGAGCCAGGTTAGACTTAGGTAGACAATCTGGGGGCTGGTATCACCTTAGAACTGCCTGATACCTTTAAGAGCAACCAGAATGAAAGTACTTGATGCCAAAAACTTCTTAGATGTGATCCTGGGTCATAAGACATTATGGAGGAAAGTGAGATGGGGAGAAAGGAAGTTAGAGGGAAAGAAGAGAAAGGAAGGAAGGAAGGTGGGTATATAGGGAGAAGGAAATAGAGAAAGGGAGAAGAAAATGGGTAGGGAGAGAAAAGAACAGAGATGACAAGAGGGCCAGTTCAGGCCATGCCTTTATTCTTTAGGTTCTTGGCAAGAAAAATATCTCCAAAGAAATTCCTGCATATGAGCCCTTTCTGCACGTGGAAAACTCTATTAGCACAGTACCCAGAAATATGTTCTTTGCCCTGAATCTGATTTCTTCCTTGGGAGTGAGTGAACTGATAAGAGAATACTGTTTGGATACAGTACCTTCACCTCCCACCCCTCTGAGGCAGGTACAGTTTCTCTCCCACTTTACCGCCCCCACTCCTACTTTTCTTTGACTGTGGTCTAGAGGAAGTGAAAGTTGGTTCTACTGGACAGGTATGGAATCAGCTTACATGGTACAGACTGGCCCTCATCATCTGGAACTGATCAATCAGCTTCTTATGCAGAGGCCGCATTTCTGGATGTACAAACTTCTCATGGACTGCCAGCCCAACTCCAAGAACATGGACCTATGAGAATTGCCAAATAAGGCCTCTGTTAAGCAGGAAGCAGCCTCTGAGAACTAGGTCATTTTGTAGTATGTAACTTTTCCCACTGGTTTTGGACCTTCCAAGTCTTACAAGCCATACCTGTTCCTGCATTAGCTCTTTGAGCTGGGCGATCTTCTCAGCATCTCCTGGGTGCTTAGAGATATAATCTTTATCAAAGAAGGCCTGTAAAAAGAAAGTTCAGGTAATGAAGACTCTTAGGCTTACATGGAGCCCTTAAAAGGCAGTCAGATTGCTTCCTCATGGGTGTCTTGGTATCACCTCTAGCTTGACCTGGCTGAACACCCAACAGTTAAGAATTGTATATTTTCTGTGCCTAGGAAAGACTAGAGGTGGCCTAATATCCTGAGGCTGGATGCTAGCTCTAGTTCTCACAAAGCTTGGATGGTCTGGATATGCTAGGCAGAGCCGGTATCCTGAGGAGGTGCACCAGTTTCTTAGGTAGCCTGTCTCATGAAGGACTAGGTTTCTTAAGGACCCCAGAAGGCTACTTAATGTCTATAATCAGATGAGTTATCCATCTGACAGAGATTGGGGGTGGGGAAAAGCCCCACCAGAGACCCGTGCTACAGAAATAGAGAGTGGCTAAGATCTTACAACTTTTATCTCAAAACTACCTCATCCAGAAGAGGGCTAGCTTGGAAGGTTTTCCAAGGAGGCCATAACTTGGGAAGAGGAGCCTATGAACTGTGTTCTTAGCCAGGCTGCCTGGCTAAGTTTGGTCAAGGTCTCATCTTACCTCCTGGTAGCGCGCAATGCCTCCGTTGACCGCTGCATCAATGACACCATTCAGGCACATGCTGAGCAGATTGATGTTGCCATGCACTTGCTTGTGTTGGTACTGGCTGATCAGAGCTCGTAGCTCTTGATTCTTATTCTCAACTACCTGGATGGCGTTCTCCAGAGGGCTCACCTCCACCTGTGGGCACACACAGAGTCCTCTCAGGGATCACAACCCCTCATCATAGCCTGAGAACAGAGAGTGATAACCTATGATGCTAATCCTCCTTCCTCATTCCTGTGGATGTAAGACTTCCTAGGTGTTCTCTACTTTTCTGACCCAAGGCACTTGGAAGTGAAGAGAATAGTGAGGAGTATTAGTTCTGAAGTCAGGGATGTATGGCTTCTAGAATCTCAGAGAATTTTTTTTTTATTTGTAAACTGAAAAATACCTGATGCTTAGGAGTGTCCTGTGGTCTAGATGAGAAGGTACCAAAGCTTCTGGCATAGGAGGGAACTGAGGAGTGGCAAGAAAGTTTAAACCTTCTGAGGCATAACTTACCAGTTCCCTCCTTTCCACTTCAAACCACCGAGAAATGCCAGGCAAGCTGTGGGTCAGTGTCAGTGTGGTGCGCTCAATCCACAGGCTCTGTGGGGAGGGCACAGACAAGTGTAAGAAGTTAGACAAGTTTTGCTATACTTGGCCTAACAGAAGGGTGCAAAAGCAATGACTTTCCAAGAAGCAGGGCTTGCCCCTAGATTTGCTATGTGCATGGCATTCACTTTCCTGTATTATTTACCTTGAATTCATTCTCTTTGTCCTTGGGGCCTTTGTGGAAAGGTCTATCATACCGAAATTTCCTCACATTGTTGACACGATAAAAGCTCTTGACACGATCAGGTACTCTATCCATTTGTAGAACATCCACATAATCTGGAACAGGTGTCACTGCATAGATCTGTAAATCTGGACATGAAGTGAAGGAGAAATCTAGACTTGGCAAAGGAAATGACTGAAGTGGTAGCCTCTTGTTTTCTCCTTGATGAAGTACACTGTGGCCTTTGTTCCTTACTGGAAGTTGTGGTGGCGGCAGCAGCATCCTAAGGTGTAGATCAGACCTAAACACAGTTAGACAAACCTCCATATCTGCCCCCTTCCCTCCTGCTACAACAGTGACTGTCAGGAGCACTCACCCAAGGTAAGGTGGCAAGTGCCCCTTTAAGAGAGGGATTAAATAAGCAGGAGATGTAATATTCACACCACAGGAATAAGTATCTGGGCCTGCCCATAGTAACTAAATGGATTTTATATAAAGCAGCCTTTTTGTTTCCTTTATTTTTGTTTTTTTATTTATTTTCTTTTTTCTTTTCCTTTCTTTTTTTGTGACATTAGGGCTTGAAACCAAGGCTTTGGGATGGGAATGATAAGCAAGTGCTTATCCATTGGGCTATATCTCTAGCTCCTTTTGTATTTTGGCACAGGGTCTCAGGTTAGTGTTGAATTCACCCTGTAGCTTAGACAGGTCTTAGACTCTATCTCTTCCTGCTTTAGCCTCTCAAGTAACTGGGATTACAGGCCTATGCCACAGGCCCAGCCAAAACAAGGCTTTAATTAAAATACTGCCTGAGGTCTTTGTGAAGAGAACATGAATGGGTGTCTACTTGCAGTTTACTCTCTGGAACAAGTTTGCCCATATGGTGAGGAGCTTATAACTTCTAACAAATCTGTCTAAAGTGGGTAGTGAGGGGCAGGCCAGTGTTTTCATGAAACTTCCAAATGCTAGCAAATCATAGGCATTCTCTATCTCCTCTTCTCCTCCTCCTCCCTGGTACTCTGCTACAGGCCATTTAACAAAGAAAAGCAACAAAAACCGCACAGGAAGGTAGAGCAGGCTGCAGCAGAGGTGGTAAAACCATGCCAAGAGCCCTGCTGGAACCACAATTACCTAATCCAGTGGCTGGTCTGGACTGCCTGACCAGGCCCCGTAGAGTCCAGGGTGGAGACTAAACTCATGAGAGTAACTAGCCTGATTATCAGTCCCTGAAGCTCAGCTTATAAGTTATGAGGTCATCCATGGCTAATGGCATGCTACTGCCTCTTAGGAGGCTGAGTGTCTTGCTAAATGTGTGTTCAATGGTAAAGACAGACCCAGATTTGGGACGACAGGTAACCTAAATAAAGGTAGAAGGCCAGCCACATGGTAGGGGAATGGTTGGTGGGAGGGACTTACATCTCAGGATCCCGGCCCTTCCCACTCTACCAAGTTTCAAAAGATACACTGAGCATCACATTGTAGGATGGCATCATCTGGATGGTTGGGGTGCTGCATAGCAACGGCCTGTGGGAACTCGCTGAGCATCCTCTGCTGGAAGGCTTCCAGCCTCTCATAGTCATGACCACGGCACACATATTCTTTGTTCTGCCAAAAACATGAAAGTACATTCTATGCCTTGCATATACCTGCCTCCTTCTCTACATAGAGGCAGTTTTTTATCCATAAACATACCCTAGGAGCCTCCTTTGTACTAGACCTAGGTACAGGTATAGGGCACAGTACTCAGTCCCTGTCTTAAGAGAAATGACAGTTGAGAAGGGAGAGGGACAGAGGAAGAAATGACTGTTCTGTGGTGTGGCAGTCCTGGGGAGAATGTACAGGCATCCAGCAATGTGGGGGAAGGATGGATCCTTTTCCTGGGGAAGGAAAGCAAAGTAGAAGAGGGACTTTAGAAGAATCAATGGTTTACAAAACCCCGAAAGGCCCAGTTTGGTTAGCCTGCTATGGAAGAGGGGGAGCAAGCCAGCTGTTTGTATGGTAACAACCCAAGCAACAGCCAAACTACGAGAAAGCACAGATGGAAATAATGTATGCTTGTAGAACTTGTGAGAGGGTGGCTGGAGAGACTAGCAAATGTGTGTTAAGGAGTGAGTGCCCTGAGTGTTGACAAATAATTTTAAATTAGGCGTGATCATGTACACCTAAACACTGTACATTATTACACCTGATAAATCCTTTTGGTAGCAAATTTCTTTGCAAGCATGTCAGCAGAACAAATCAGTATCATTCTCTCTATAAGTAGAACAAATGTCAATCTTTCTTTCCCTTCCTCAGTCTCATTATACAGTTCAGTTTAGCCTTGAACTAGAGGTGATCCTCTTGCCCCAACCTCCTGAATTCTGGGATTACAGACATGCACACATTGGTTTGGGTTAGGTCTTAGTTTTTCTCTTTGTGAACTGAAGTCTCTTTGCAAACAAGACACCCTTAATTCCTGTTGCTCTGTCTACCTCACAGCTGGCCATGTATGAATAACTAGAAGCCCCACTAATACCTACTAGTAGGAGGGCTGGAGAGATGGCTCAATGGTTTAAGAGCTGTTGCTGTACAACCATGAGGAAAGAGTTCAGATCCTAGAACCCACGTAACATTTGGGTGTCCTGAGCACACCTGTAACCCCAGCTCTGAGGTGAGCAGAGACAGGGGAACTACTTGGATTTGTTGTCTTCCAGCCTAGTGGAAAAAATGTGAGACCCAGGTTCAGGAGAGATCCTGTCTCAAGGGACTAGGGAAAAGAGTGATTGAGGAGGACACCTGACACCCCCTTTCTGGCCTCTATTGTGTACACACATGCCCATACACTTACATAGACACACACACACACACACACACACACACACACACACACACACACACACACACACACACACACACACACACACACACAAATAAACAAAAATTTAAAAAGCCTACTAGTTATACTGCCTACCCAGCTGGTTCACCAGGCCCATTTCAGCAAGTCATATCAGACGCTAGAATCTCTTTTTGATATGTCTTAGTGAAAGGGGGAGTTTTATGGGGAAAGAAAGAAGAAAAGAAAGAGAGGCAGAAGAAGGGGCATAGCATCATAAGGGCAGCTAGCTATACACTTCCTGGGACAGAGATGATCATAGGTTAAGCTTTGGAGGACCTCAACCTATCTATAGGTAAACTCAAATAAGACTCAGCCACATATTTGGGTGAATCAGAATGGAAAACTATTACCAGCAAAGACTCCAAAGACTATAGAGCTCGAGCCCTTTATATAAAGGTATACCTTCATATATAAGCATAGCATATTTTCCTGTATACTTCAAATCATCTTTAGGGTACTTAAAATACCAGGATGTAAGTTCTATAAAACTGCTGTTATACTGTATTATTTAGGGAATGATGACAAGGAAAAACAAGTCTGTGTACATTTGGTACAGGTGACTTCCCCCAAGTATGCTCTGTCCTTGCTTGGTTGAATCTGCAGATGTGGAACCCATGGACATAGAGGGCTGACTGTACCTTTGAAGAACTGGTTTTTTCAACATCCACTAAAATACACATAATCCCCACAAGCATCTGTTCACGGATCAAGTGAGAAATAGGAATTCTCCCAAGAAAGGAGGACTGGATATTTTCCTTTCTCCTTGAAGATTAGTAGATAATCCAAACTATGAGGTGAGGGAGGCAGATAAGCCAGAGAAACTAAGCTAAGTGGGCTAAAGAAATAGATGTCCTGTGTCTTTGGGGTTGGTGAGGAGCTAATGGGGACGGCCCAGTAAGAGGATGGCACACAAGTGCTGACCTTGAGGCTGGTTGTTGGTCTCCTAGTCACTTGTACACAAGTGCAAACATCCCCACAAAGACACATCTGGCTGCGCCTACTTTGTACTTTGTGCCATCTGCTTCCACTTGCCACAGAGCTGAGCAGCTTGAGGAAGATACAAGGCTAAGCCAGGGGACTCTGTGTGCCTGAATCAGCTGCAGGTACTACTCCTGTAAGCAGGAGGGATGGGCTGACAAGTGATACTTCCTAATAGTCTTTGTTTTTCTCCTATTATTGCAATGAACTGCCAGACGGTTACTGCAAACACAGGATACAGGTTCTATGCCCTGTCCTTCTTGTCCAAAAGTTCTAAGTATCTAGGACTTTGTATGTTCTGTGACATGTACATGAGAAGGTGAAAGTGAGCTTGAACCTGATAGGGTATTCTCACTTGGAAGACAGCAACACGAGACAACAGGTATTGAATTTACTGCCTGCCTCTGCCTCTTGAGTTCTGGGATTAAAGATGTGCACCACCACCGCCCAGCTCCTTTCACCTCTTTTATTGACCTTTAGTTCAATATTATTCTTTTTTCTCTTTTTTTTTTTGAGACAGGGTCTCATGTGGCTCAGACTTGTCTCAAACTCACTCTCACTATATACCTAAGGATGACCTTGAACGTTTGTTTCTTCTGCCTCCACCTCCCAAGTGCTGGGATTACAAGTGTGCACCATTACACTTGGCTTCCACTGTTATTTCTTTATTTAGACAGGGTCTCCCTATTTCAGAGCCTAGACTGCTCTAGAACTTACTATGTAGCTCAGACTGGCCTTGAACTTACAATGTGCCTTCTTTAGGTCCCAAGTATTGGGGTTGTAAGAACAAACCACCACACCAGACTATTATAGAATCTTTGATTACTGGAGTAACAAATATGCCACTTTTGAAATGCCTGGGCTGGATAGTTGTTATATGTCAAGGAAGCCTAGTCAGTCCTCAGAAAATTTCTCTTTGGAACAGAGTTGGAACCTTCCTAGGGATAATTATTAGGCAGAAAGAGTTTGCTGTCCCTCTTATATTACCTGTTATAATATAGGTAAGTTTTTCTTTTAGCTAAGAATGAGTACTTCCTAGAAAAAGTGAAAGGTGACCTACTTTACATCTGAAATACAGATGTCCTGAACTCTGTTAGTAGAATGGGTCGTTCCCTGTCCCCACAACTCTCAGGGAACCAGCAGACTCTGGATATTATATTAAACTTGTTATTGCTCACTGTCTAAAGCAGTTTTCCTAAGGAGGGCTTAGGTATATTAAAGGGTTTAGTGATCTTTCCCGTCTCTTGGCTGAGGTTTGTGGGCATTGCAATTTACTAAGACATTGGAGCTGGGGACAATCAGAGCTAGTTTTAGTGCATTGCAGCTCCAGGGTTCATTTATAAGGACAGCTTTACTTAAGTCATCTGAGAACAATTAATGTCAATGGGATGCAGCCTAGGACCAGGCTACCTAGTGGATCATGTGCTTTACACTTGAATAAATAAATAGAGTCACACACCACCTTTGGACTGAGCCTGACTTCTGCGCCACTTCCCATGGAAGCTTCAATCCCTTATGCACTTCCCTGCTTTGTCTCTCATTCCCAGACTGACCGATGTGAATGCTGATTCACCAGAAAATGACAGTATAAGAATGGGATGGCACTGGACAGATGTTACTATGGAGAAGAGAAAGCTAGGGAAGACAACCAGGTGCTGCAAAGGAGACTATAAGCTTGTTTCCTGATGATGGCATTTTTTTCCCTGAAGGGAAACTACAGCAGCCAGGGCACTGTGAATTGCTCTGCTGATGACATTATCAAAGATATAAACAGCAACAATTTGGAAAGTCTGCTCTAAGCTACAGAAGCTGCTAGGAAATTGCTTTCTAGGGAAAAAGTCCCCATACCAACATAATCTAGGCAGGGTTGATTTCAAAATTTGTGTCCTTCTTGGGCAGAACTTATTACTCTGTTTGAATCTGTTTGGGTGCTAGCACTGCTTATGCGAAATCAGAAGAACCGAATGCTGTGGTTATCTCTGTTGGCATTTTTCCAGGCTCACATTAGTGAGCTGCTACATGGGCTGTAGGAAATATTGCAGGTGATGGTTTAGTTCTCTTAGACACAGGTACCAAGTGTGGTTGATCCACTATTAGTTTTCTGCAGTTCTTGATATAATATATTTCACATGTGGTATTGGTATAATCTTACCTGGACACCTTCAAATGTTTGTCACTTTACGAATCCTTCACACCCATTAGATATTGAACAACTTTTTCCCTACTTTTAGTTCATCTCCTGCATCATGAAGATCCAGAAGCAGAAGCATTAGCTTGGATGTTTTCTACATTACTGATGATCCAAACACAATGAAATGACCATGCAAACAGGAGTTGTGCTTCAATGTGAAGCCTCTAGGATGTGTTGAATTTCCAACTTTAACTCCCATGCTAAAAGCTATAGAGAACATCGTCACTGAACAGATGAGCAGACTCAAGTTATGATATATGCAGGAGTATCTGCCATAACTCCCAGCTTGCTAACCCTAAACTAATAATATTCAGAAGGAAGTGACAGGGACAATGTCGAGCATCACAAATGGCTGTCAGGACCAAGAACAAGACTTTTACATTATGGATTAGTCTCATTTTCATTGGTACTCTCTTTAAGACAGAGTTTAAGATACAAAGGAAACTGTACAGGCTGTGACCACATGAGTGGTGGAAGGGTTGCACAGATTGTATACTTCACTTGCTGTGGCACAATAGACACACTGAGGAATTTTTAACTGTGAAAGAGTCTCAAAACATACTAGTTATTCTGAACCATTCCAATTATCTTTCAGCCTACAGAGGAACTTGGTATAGTGATTAAAGAATATGCGGAGGCTTAGACAAAATTGAGGGTCTACAAAGCCTTAAAAATAAGTTTATGAACAAAACATTATCAAGCTTAATTGAGAAGTATTTCTTTAGTAGAATAAGATTAAGAGCTGGGGACATAACTCAGTTGATAGAGCACTTGCCTAGCATGAACAGAGCCTTGGGTTTGATTTGCAACAGTGCATAGTACCAGGCTTTCAGCACTCAGGAGGCAGAAGGATGACGAGGAATTCAAAGTCAGTGTCAGCTACATAACTAGTTCAAGGCCAGCTTGGACAACATGAAACCCTGTCTCAAAAACCAAAACCAAACAATAAGAGGATCAAAAATGTGTCAGAAACTACTTCTGAATGCTTTACTTTCCAAATTCAGGATGGGACTACTGGGACTTTAATTTTAAATATTACAGCTGAGGTATTAAGTTTGTTGTATTATATGTGATGTTTAGCATAAGTTTAGCTAACTGTTTCTCTGACACAATTTTTTTCAGACAAGGTCTGTGTGGTCCGGGCTGGCCTGAAACTCACAGTCTTCCTGCCTCCAGCTACAACATGCTGGGTTTACAGTGTGTCATGATGCCTGCTTTAGCAATTCTTTTATAATGTGGTTTGTTACTAGAGCATTAAAAAATTAAACTATACTTGAACAGGTGTTACAAACTACACATACTATATGAAGCCTGTCCTCTGAATGGGTTTCTTATTTCTATACATAATTCCTATCTTTCAGTGACCTATACATAATGATGAAATTCCACCCTTTACTTCACAATGACGTCACTACTGTCACCAGACGTATGCACAAATTATCCTTCTGCACTGTGTGTGTAGATTCCAGATCAGTTGTTTGGACATTTTTCTCCCACTGAAAGAGAGAAGTTGCTGTTGTTATCTTGTGTCATAGAAATGACTTTTTAGTCTTTCACAGCTGAACTTAGATTTCATAGGGACCTGGGAACTAAGTGTACTGTCATCTAGGTTCATTTAAGCCCACAATTCTCCATCCTGCCTATACGGGTTATAGTGCATTCAGAAGGAAAAAACCCCACCATTTTAGACAAACACCCAAGAGATATGCCTACTGTTGAGGTCAGGGCTATACTAATGTGCTGTGGGATATTGTTCTGTATGCTGGGAATATGTGTTGCTCTGATTGGTTGATAAATAAAACGCTGATTGGCCAGTAGCCAGGCAGGAAGTATAGGTGGGGTGAGTAGACAAGGAGAATTCTGGGAAGAGGAAGGGCTGAGTTAGGAGTCACCAGCCAGACACAGAGGAAGCAAGATGTCAAGGCAGAACTGAGAAAAGGTACCAAGCCATGTGGCTACACATAGATAAGAATCATGGGTTAATTTAAGTGTAAGAGCTAGTCAGTAATAAGCCTGAGCTAATGGCCAAGCAGTTGTAATTAATATAAGCTTCTGAGTGATTATTTCATAAGCGGGCCATGGGACTGCAGAGGCCTGGTGGGACTGGAGAAACCTTCTGGCCACACTAAATTCTATTGCCTAAGATGAGCTACAATGAAGGTTCCAGGCACTAGAGGCAGACGCTGGAAGGTACCTATATAGGAGATATTTAGGCACTAGTCACTTCCTGACACATTCCTTGTAAACACAGAATAATACTGCAAATTAAAATAGAATTGAAGGTGACAGCTAGTATTGTTAAATAAAGCCAAATGTCTTTGGTTAACTGATCAGTCATTTGGAAAGAAGTAGTCAGTAGAAATAGGAAACTGAAAGAGAGTGTGCAGGTGTTAAGTGAATTATGTGTATAATGTAAAATGTTCTTGTGGGCTGGGGAGATGGTTTAGTTGAAACCTGTGGTGCAAGAATGAGGACCTAAGCTTGGATCTCCAGATTCTATGTAAAAAGCTGGTCATGGAGGTGTGCACATCTAACCTTAGCACTGGTAATGTGAAGGCTGATTGCTGTGGGATGGTCTGTATGGCAAATGTGTTGCTGATTGGTCAATAAATAAAACACTGATTGGCCATTGGCTAGGCAGGAAATATAGGCGGGACAAGGAGGAGAATAAAGCTGGGAAGTGGAAGGCTGAGTCAGAGAGACACTGCTGCTAGCCGCCATGATGAGAAACAGCATGTGAAGATGCCGGTAAGCCATGAGCCATGTGGCAAGGTATAGATTAATGGAAATGGATTAATTTAAGCTGTAAGAACAGTTAGCAAGAAACCTGCCATGGCCATACAGTTTGTAACCAATATAAGTCTCTGTGTTTACTTGGTCGGGTCTGAGCGGCTGTGGGACTGGCAGGTGAGAGAGATTTGTCCTGACTGTGGCCCAGGCAGGAAAACTCTAGCTACAGCTGATAGATCCATGAAACTCACTGGCCACATAGCCTAATAGAATTGATGAGCCTCAGGTTCAGTGAGAGATTCTTTCTTAAAAATAAGGTAGAGAAGGTGAAGAAATGGCTTAGCAGTTAAGAGCACCTACTGCTCTTGCAGAGGATCTTAGTTAATTTTCTAGCATACAACTATCTGTAATTTAATGCCTTCTTCTAGGCTTTACAGGCATGTGCACGCCTACATGTCTCTCTCTCTCTCTCTCTCTCTCTCTCTCTCTCTCTCTCTCTCTCCACCCCCTCTCTTAAAAATGATACATACAAAACTTAAAAAAAAAAATGAAGTGGAAAGTGATCGAGGAAATACCTGGCATCTACCTCTGACCTTTGCATGCATGTGTAAACATGTGTATATACCTACATAGAATACAATACCTACCCACCACCACCACTACTTAAACACACTTAAACAATTATTGCGACCACCTGAATGGACTTACCCGAAGGAAGAAAGGAAACTTCCTGCCATAAAAGCCAACCCTGAAGAACTCAGGCTCCAGGCGTTGCTGCTCTATAATGTTGTCATAGTAGCTGGCCTCCATTTTCTGTTAACAATAAAGGTGTGGTCGTTATTCAAAGCAAGTTCTCCTAGGCTCAACTAGACACTGTCTTCTAGAGAGGGATCATGGCAATTCAATCTAGGTAACAAGGAAGTAACCCCCCTAGACACTATCTGCCTCTCTCCAGGGAATTGCATCATTGAAGAGGAAAGCCCTTGGTTCTTCTTCACTGCCATCTGATGACAGGATAAAGATAAGCCTGGTTACTATATCCTTGTGAGGTTGCTCTCAATATCCTCCCTGGGGATGGACCCAGATCCATGGAGATCTGAGGCCTGAACTTGAGAGGTAAATATTTCACATGGATTTGACTGATACTCACTATACCATCTGATCCTTGACTAGGGTTGCTGGTAGCTGTCTACCAACAACTCTCATTACCATCATATGTCAGTCCATTTGCATCCACTCTTATTCATCTGTCATTTGACTTAAGATACTATTAACCACAGTGAGGAAGCCTCAGTTGCCAGTATCACTGATATTGGTTCCAATTTAGGAGATTTTAAATTTGAAAAGATAACTAATATTCATCATGTCTAACATTACAAAGTCAGCAAGTTTTTCAGCATGGCTGTTCTGGCTTCACATTTAAGCATCTTTAGGCAGTAGTTCTCAAACATTAGCCAAAAAGCTACTTTAGAGAATCAAATCCAAATCCCAATCTAGACCAGAGATTTCTGGTCTTTATTTAATTGTTTTAGCCATAAACAAGGGTGTAGTGAATGATGCTCTGAAACCACTAGTCCTTCTCTGCTGATGAAATAAGAACATAGTATCGAAGAGGCCTAACTTAACTTTAGTGCAGCCATGACAGGCTGCAGACTAACAATCCTGGGACTAGGCCTCACCATTACAATAACCAGGAAAAGTCACATGTAGTCAGAAAGTTTCTCCAGTCCCACCAGGCCCCCACAGTCCCATGGCCCACTTATAAAATTATCACTCAGAAGCTTATATTAATTACAACTGCTTGGCCATTAGCTCAGGCTTATTACTGACTAGCTCTTACACTTAAATTAACCCATGATTCTTATCTATGTGTAGCCACATGGCTTGGTACCTTTTCTCAGTTCTGCCTTGACATCTTGCTTCCTCTGTGTCTGGCTGGTGACTCCTGACTCAGCTCTTCCTCTTCCCAGAATTCTCCTTGTCTACTCACCCCACCTATACTTCCTGCCTGGCTACTGACCAATCAGCGTTTTATTTATCAACCAATCAGAGCAACACATATTCCCAGCATACAGAACAATATCTCACAGCAGCCACAAACTGTACCCTGTGGGGAACCAATCAGAACTGAGATAAACAAGTACTAAATGCTTTAAAATATAAAAGATATCTTACATAATCTATATATAGATTGCCAGTTTTCTTGCAGCTACGTCAGTACCAATCACTGTTTGACAAAATATCTGTTACCTCACTCCTTCCCAATCAGGAGTTCAATCCCCATCTAAATCTGGAATTCCCCCACCCCTCCCCCCATCCTTTACTCTTTAAAAACTCTGCCATAACTGAGCTCAATGCTCTCCCTGATCCAACCACTATATAGGAGCAGACAGAGAGCCCAAGCTTGAGCTTGCAATAAAGGTTCTTTGCTTTTGCATATGAACTCAGACTCTTGATGGTCTCTGGGGGGCTCATAACAGGAGGCATAACACTACGATTTAGAAGATAGCACTGGCAATAAGTAAAGACTTTACAAAGACCTTCAAAATCCAAGGGACATTTGACATAATTTTTGAATATTTTGCTCCAAAGAAGGGAGCAAGGACAAAGTGATTTAGTAACTACAAGATGCAGTGGGGAAAGCTCTCATAATAAAAAGTTTTAGGTGCTAGTGAACTATAAAAACATTTACTGGTAGCATAAGTCTGGTGATCTGAGTTTGATCTTCAGAATCCATGTAAAGATGGAAGGAAAGGATGAACCCCACAAAGTCTTCTCACTCTACACATGTACCTCATCATGCATGCCTACCTTATATCATGCATACCCACAAATAATAAATTTAAAAAATTTATATATCACTGAACAAAGCTATTTCATGAAAAACTTCTTCATGAAGCTAGGCTTCATGTGTGTGCGCGCGCACGCGCGCACGCGCGCACACACACACACACACACACAAATCACTATCCTATCGTGCCTTCTTTCCCTGAGTATAAGTGGCTTTTAGGGTTCAGATCATAAAGTCACTTGTCAGGTATGTGCTTTTGTTCTCTAGTAAGACTCCAAGTATCTTGAGGGCAGAAATCTAGCCTCTGTTCATGGCAATAAGCTAAGGGCCTTAGGCATCACTTAGAAACCGATGCCAGGAAGTCCAGGAGTCTTTGGTCAGAGATACAGTGGAACAGACAAAGCTTACCCGAATCCAGCTGAGGCTCTGATAATCATAGAGGCTCTCATACTGACATGCCAGCTCTCTACATAGAGGGATTCCAAACTCCCAGCTCTGTATGAAACACAGGAACAGGGCTTCAGCACCTCAGGCATCTTAAGAATGGTTAAGTCCACACTTAACATATAAAAGACTAAAACAAAAGGCTACCTCCAACTCATATATTAAAAGGAACATAGTCTTCAAAACCAGTTTATATAGAGTAACACACAGCACTGTTGTTTTCTAACTCACGCAGAGCTTTCTGGTTTTTGCTCAAATGTGTTATGCCTCTCTTGACTATCTTTACAAGAAGAGGTACTTCTTAGTATGTTTTGGTCTTTTATTTTTATGTTATCTCTTAAAAATATATTTACGACAGGCATGGTGGTGCACACCTTTAATCCCAGCACTCGGGAGACAGAGGCAGGCAGATCTCAGTGAGTCTGAGGCCAGCCTGGGCTACCAAGTGAGTTCCAGGATAGCCAGAGCTGTTATATAGAGAAACCCTATCTCAAAAAACCATATTATTGCCGGGCGGTGGTGGCGCACGCCTTTAATCCCAGCACTCGGGAGGCAGAGGCAGGTGGATCTCTGTGAGTTCGAGGCCAGCCTGGTCTCCAAAGCGAGTACCAGGAAAGGCGCAAAGCTCCACAGAGAAACCCTGTCTTGAAAAAAAAAAAAACCAAAAAAAAACCCATATTACTCATTACCATAAAACTCAAAATTACATATTATATATATTTAATTTTTGTTGTATTAGTCTATATTAGATTATAAACTGCATAAGGGAGAAAGTTATGCTTATGTACTTTATTTTCAGATCCTAGAATAATAGCAGGTATGGCAGCTACTCAGTATTTCTTTAATAAGCTAATAAAGGGACCATGAATAGAGATGAATTAAGTTAAGGAAAATTATGGCAATCAAGCAGAAAGGGGCTGTCAAAGGCCTGGTGTAGGCCTCGTAGCACTTCTCTTTTATGAAAAGACTGTAACTTTAGGTGTCAGATGATCTTTGCCTAGTTGGAAAACAGTCTGTTTCTGTGATACAGTTCCTGTTCCAGCAATAGGCCCATCTAACAGGTACTTGAAGAAGGCTGCAGTGAACTTCATTCTAATGAACTGTTCATTTCCTTCATATTTTTTTCTTTTTGTGGTGCTGAGGATTGAACCCAGAGCCCTGTGAAAGCTAGCTATGTTCTCTACCACTGAACTACACCTTTATCTTCCTCTTATTATTACAATATTTTCTTTCTCTTGGGTACTTACAAACATTAGTTTATATGATATTTAATTCAATTTATTTTTCCCAACTTCCAAATACTAATTCAAACTTACACATGATGAACTTAGATACCTATCATCAACCTCAACTACTCTCTGTTTCTAACAAAGATGTCATACACTAGAGCTGAAGTTGAGGGGCTGAAAGTCTTGCTTTCTAACACCTACTTTGCCTTTGTTGAAGTAGTGGATGATCTTCCTACACAGTCCCTCTTTCCGCTGCCACTCAGTCTGGGATGGGTAGTGTAGGAACTCCCGTAGTGGCCGGTCTTCCCATTGCAGCAGCTCACAGTAAAGAAGCAGGGTGAACGCAGCCTCTGTAGGGACAGACAGCAGAGAGGCTCAGGGCTTCCTCTGGGGGCCCAGGAACAGCTAAGCAGGAATATCAGAGCAAGGCATGGGTAGCACAAATCAGGAATACTAGAGACCAAAGACAGTAGGATTGTCTAAGCTAATAACCCTTGTTCACAGAATGAAGGAGCCATAAATGCTCCCAGTACCTGGTCACCTGTTTTGAGTTTCAGATAAAGAATAAAGAAAGGTTCACATATGGAAACTTACTAATTTATAAGCTTCTTAAAGTATATACATATATGAAAGGAATTTAAATGGAGTCACTATATAATGGGAGAGATGATGCCCCAACTAGACATCTTATTCCACCAAGCAAACCCTTCAGTGCCAGGAATGAGCTTTATCTTGTTGAGTATCTGGCCAAAGGGGTCCCAAAGAACCTCTAAACATCACAGACTACTCCTAAGGCCATTGGCCATTCTCCACAACCTGATGGTAAGACTCTGTTGCTGAAAACACCACTTACTTATGTCATCAAACATGGAGAAATGGAGCTGGTGCCCAACTCAAATTTCACCCCCTACTGACTAGTGTTCATGTTGCTGGAAGGTACTTCACATTACTGGAGGTGAAAGTAATCAACAATACCACCCAGCTACAAACCCTATGACCAACAACAGCAACCTGCCTGTAAGATACACTGGTACAATAGTGGCAAGGATGTTAGGGAAGTAACCAACTACTTTTTGACTGGATTTAAGGCCCATTCCATGAGATAGAATCCATACCTGATACTACTCAAGTAGCCAAGAATTTGAGACTAGATCTGGGAGAAAATCTACCACTATTTTTCTGCTAAAGAAACAGCAATAGAATGACTCTTAATGACATATTGCTACACCCACAGATCAGTACCTTGCTCAACCCTCATTAGAGAAGCATTTTCTTTCAGTTGATGGTAATTAAAACAGAGATCCACAACTTAACAATATGCAGAGAGTGAGAGACTTTGGAGGATTCAGCCTTAAATGGGATGTTTTCATTAAACCCCTCCCCTCAAGGCTTAGGGATCCATGTGGAAGAAGAGGTGAAAAGATTATAAAAGCAGAAGTGATGAATGACTCCAAGGATGCAGCATCTTCCAGATACAACAGAATTGAACATATGAACACAGAGACTGTGACAGCAGGCACAGGATCTCAATAGGTTCAAACCAGACAAATTCCCAGCTATGAGAAGGGGAGGTAGACATCAAAGTCCCACACCTAACCAAGAAACTATTTGCAATTGATACCTACTGGGAAAAGGGAAATGAATTTTCTAAAATGGCATCTCACTAGGTATATCAACTACGCTCCAGCATAGGCCTCATGCCTAGAAGTAGTTGCCAATGCAAAATAGACTCCATGTTTGGTTTTTTTGAGGGGGGAATTTTTGTTTCAGTTTGTTTTGCTATTTTTTTGTCTTATTAATTTTTTGTTTGTGTTTTCATTGTTTTTGAGAGGGAGAGATGGAGAGGGAGAAGGGAGGGGGATGGAGAGGGAAGAGAGAGGGACAAGGGGGAGAGGTGGAGAGGGGGAGAGGGAGGGAGAGGGAGAGAGAGGGAGAGAGGAGAGAGAGGGAGAGAGGGAGAGAGGAGGAGAGGAGAGGAGAGAGAGAGAGAGAGCATGAGTGCATGAAGTTGGGTGGGTAAGGAGGTGGGAAGGATCTGGAAGGAATTGGGAGGCGAAAGAATATGATCAAAATATATTTATGGAAAGTTTTTAAATAAAAGACGAATGGCCCAGCTACTTTAAGGCTATGCACAAGTTGTCTTGCTTTGGGTGACACATATACTTGAGAGCTCTTATGTTCCTTTCTGTTCACTTTGCTCCAGTTTTCTTTCTAACCTTCTTAGAATTGGTTCTATTTGGTGAGCACCAATTCATCAAGGATTCCCCTAGCACTCAATCTGCTCTTGTCTACTGCTCCAGGAAATGTTCTTTCCTCTTATTGTTACTGTTTCTAAAAGAATGAAAGTTAAGGAATGTGAGTGGTATTAACCATGTGATGAATCTGGAGCCAGAGACTGTTTCTGGAGGAATTTGTTGATACTGTACTCAGACTGTAGGCTTAGCAATATTTTATATGCAGAACAGTTAGTGAAAGTTACATAAAAACACAGTATCCTTAGATGCTTAGTGTAAATTACAAGAGATAAGTCACACTGAATTGCAACCATGGTCCAGAGCCCTATTAAGGAATTCTCTTTCTTCTTCTGTTTGTTATTTATTTTTTTTTTCGAGACAGGGTTTCTCTGTAGTTTTGCGCCTTTCCTGGAACTGACTTTGTAGACCAGGCTGGCCTCGAACTCACAGAGATCCTCCTGCCTCTGCCTCCCGAGTGCTGGGATTAAAGGCGTGTACCACCACCGCCTGGTCTGCTTGTTAATTTTTAATGGCCTTTCCCCACTAGCAAGATAAATAGTTCTAGCTTCTGCCCGGATTTCTAGGTCATACTAAAAAGTGTTCACATGATTATAAAGAATGCTATTTCTAATCATTTTGTGATCCATTTCCAGTTTTCATTGGTCCACTCTCTGGGCTTCTGATTCTTCTCTATTTGTGCCCTGACACTGACATCTCTTACCAGACCTCTTATGGAAGTTGGAGAAGCACGTGAAATCTTTGTTATCATTGTTGTGATGGCTAGTCTTACGTCAACTTGACACACAAACTAGAGTTATCTGAAAGGGGGGACCTAAATTAAGAAAATGCCTCAATAAAATCTGGCTGTAAGGCATTTTCTTAATTAGCAATTGATGGGGGAGGGCCCAGCCTATTGTGAGTGGTTCCATCCCTGGGCTGGTGGTGCTGGATTCTACAAGAAAGCAGGCAAGCGAATAAGCAGCATCCTATCCATGGCCTCCACATCAGCTCCTGCCTCCAGGTTCCTGCCCTTTTTTTAGCTCCTTTCCTGACTTTCATCAATGATGAATAGAAATATGTAAGTGTAAGCCAAATAATCACTTTCCTCCCCAACTTGTATTTTGGTCATGGTGTTTTGTGGCAGTGACAGAAACCCTAAGACAATTGTCTATATTTTTTTTTCATGTAACACTGAGAGCTACAAAATACAAAGTATAGTACTTCTCTGTTAATATCCATAACTCAACCAACAGCACAGTCCTTGAATTTAGCATATGTCTATATAATACATGGAATTAATTTTTTATATTTTAATTACTTATTTTTATGTGTATAGATTTTTTTAAACTTTTTTTATTTATTCTTTGTGTCTTTCACATCATGAATCTCCATCCCATTAATTTCTCTGTTCCTTTGTATCCATCCTCTGCCCTTGCAACCTCTCCCTCCAAAATAAAGTAAAATAATTTTTTTTTTTTTTGGTTTTTCGAGACAGGGTTTCTCTGTGTAGTTTTGGTGCCTGTCCTGGATCTTGCTCTGTAGACCAGGCTGACCTTGAACTCACAGAGATCCGCCTGGCTCTGGCTCCAGAGTGCTGAGATTAAAGGCGTGCGTGTGCCACTGCCGCCTGGCTGTAAAATAAAATTTAAGAGGAAAAAAAAAAAGGAAAAATCAATCTCGTCACGGAAACTATAGTGTGACACTGTGAGTCACACAGTAAGCCCTTTTACTCATTTATCTTTACTTGCAAGTGTTCATCGAAGTCATTGGTCTGGTTCGAGGCCTCTGGTTTCTGCTACACTATTGATGCTGGGCCCTCACGGGAACTCCTTTTGGTTATCCTGCTGTTACCCTGTGTTGTAGAGATCCTGCAGCTTTGGGTCTGTAGGACCAGTCCCTTCATGTGCTCCAGCAGATTACAGATAGGGTGATGTTGGGGTGGGCCAACTCATAACCCTGGTGCTGGGCCTGGGTAGTTGCAGGGTTGGTCAGTTCACCAGCTTTCCCTTGTCCTCACCACCAGGGTGAGCTCTCCTGCATTGCTCTGGCTAGTTCATCCCTTGCATGGATGAGCAAGGGGCGGGGCCAGTTCTCCTGCTTTCATGTGGTCAGGGTCAGTTCTCCAGAACCTCCACCTTCAGGGCCAGCTCTATCTACTGTGTTTCCCAGGCATGGCGTAGGGGCCACTCTCACATGTGCTGCAGCTGATAAGTGGCAGGGCCAGCTCTCCCACTCTTATGACCTCAGGGCCAGCATGTATAGATGCTTTGTCTGCATGTATGTTTGTGGACCACATGTATGTAGTGCCTGCAGAAGCCAAAAGAGGGTGTTGGAGCCCCTGGGGCTGGAGTTACAGATGGTTGTAAGCTATCATGTGAGTGATGGGAATCAAACTTGGGTCTTCTGGAAGAGCAGGCAGTGCTCTTAACCACTGAGACATCTCTCCAGCTCAATACAGGGAATTTATAAAACTCTTTCCCTTCACCATCCTTTCAGAGTTGTTGAGATCATGATTAGTAGGTATAAAGAATGGTAAATTTAGTCATGTTATGCAATGTCATATAATCTCTCTTAAAAATATTTATTTATTTAATGTGTATTGTGTCTTGCCTATATGTATGTATGTCTGTGCACCACGTGCATCCCTAGTGCCTCAGAGACTAGAGAAGAACGGTGGATCCCCTTGCACTAGAGTTACAGACAGTTGTGAGCTGCCATACAGGAGCTACAAAGTGTACTCTGGAAGAGCAGTGAGCATGCTTAACTGCTGAGCCATCTCTCCAGGCCCTCTTTTCATTTTAAAGACAGTCTCACCACATAGCCTAGGCCTACCTCAGACTCATGATCCTCATGTATTAGCTTCCTGAGTATAGACAGACCAGTCATACCAAGAACAAGCCTGTCCTGTTCTTCTTGCCAAGTTATGCTAACAGAAAAAGTAGCATATACACAACATTCTAACATCTAGATACAAGGGTAAGGAAGGAGGGTTCTCTGTTTATACTAATTCATAAACTCCTAGTTAAGATCTGCAAATAAGAATAGCTCACATTTCCACATTTAGATGACAAATTTAAGTCCTTTAGCCTGAGGGATAAGAATAGGGTCTGGTCACAGTGGAAAAGATGGTTCTTCAGGGAACTATGGTACAAGGGAATCGCACAGAACATCCATGCATGCATCCTTCCCCTTCCTTCAGAGCTGCTCTCAGTAAACAGATCATGACGGGTCTTTGCATAGACTGCAGACATAATGAAGAGGCTCTCATCTGGCCTGTCAAGAAGATGAATGCTGTCCACACTCTGTACTGGAAGCTCAGTATAGGAGCTGGTGTGTAGTTGCAGAGGAAGAGCCAGATCTACCAGTGAGTTCTAGAAGTTTCAAGATGAAGGAGATATTCCTTTGCTATGGTCTTAGTTACTTCAGCGTTCTAAGACCTAAGAAAAGTTGTATTTCTGAGGAGCAATAGAACTTCAAATGTTCTAAACCGGGTGCACCAGAATTTGGAAGTTACTCTTGAGTCCTCAGAGACATGGATAGGAGCAAAGGTGAATGGAACAGCCCCAGACAGTAGAGGACATGCATGAAGAACAAAAATTTCACCTGGTTTTTCCACACTACAAAGGGGCAGAAGGACAGGAGAGAGGTGAAGGAATACCTTGGGACCCAACACTGCTGAGATCTGGCAGGTACCCTCCTGGGGCCTTTCTCTGTATAGGCCCTTAAGTCTGTCCTAATGAAAACACAGCTCTTCTCTTTCCCTGACTCACCTGTGTAGTTTTCAGCCTGTAAGTGCATGTCACAAAGCTTATGGATGTATCGGATATACATTTCCTCTTTGTTAATCTCAGATTTGTAAAAGTTCTGTAAGAGAATGAAATATATGTAAGCTGCAAGAGTTTTGAAGGTCATTTCTAAGCCCCAGCCAGCCAGCCCAAAGCCTGGCTGTGTCATCAGGAGGGAAGGAGGAAGAGCCCGTGTCCTCTCACCATTAGGTTAACAGTGCAGCCAATCTTCTTGTTCTCTGCTTCTTCTCCTTTCATGCAGTCCCTGAAAGAGAGAGCACAGACGACTGACCATGAGATGGAGTGATGTCTCCTGGGACAATACATCAAACAGCAGTATTACTGGAATATCAGTATGGTCAATTCTAAAAGGAGTATGCCTTCTAACAGGAAGTACTTTGACAGAAGAGGACTGTATTGTGAGACCCCTCCACCCACCCAGCTTTGCAGCCAATCCTGGGGTTCAAAGATCTCCGTTTAGCTCCTTGTTCTGGTTGCAGAGTATAGAGCCCAGATGCACCATCAGAGCAGTAAGTGGCACTTACCACTTTTCTTAGTACAGAAGGATGCATCTATAAGGCAGAAGGCCAAATTCCCAAGTTCCCCAGGGAGGCAGAGAGTTATTCTTAAAGGGCAAGTTTCATTTTATGAGAAAATGTGAAATATAAGCTATAAATCTATCCTAAAATTCACATAAAGTTAAATACATTACATAAAGTCAAAGCTGAGGAGGTACTTCTTAGAAGACTTAGTTTGGCAAGTCTAAAAATAAGACTCACACCAAAGGTTCAAGTCATGTTGGACCACAACTTCTAGAAGAAACATTAAGATTTTATATATAACTTACGTCTAAATGTCATGTATATATAGTTTTTATTATACACACATATACTGTCAGTAACAGTTTAAGTTCTTGGGTAAAGGAAAGAATTCTCTTGATTTTGGCACAGACTTTCCTGCAAGCTCATTTGATTCATCATTATTTATTGTGTACCTGTCAGGGATAAGCAGAGTATCAGAAGAAAAGCTCAAGGGTCCTGCCTTCAAGGAGTTGACTCTTTTCTGTCAAACTAAGTCAGAGAGATGGCAAATGAGGTATACTCAAGGCATGCACAGCAAGCCAGGTGAGCTCCTGGCTTGGGAAAGCCTCTCTGATGCTTTGGACTGGGGAGCTACTCTAAGGAAATGACATAGCAAAAAAACCTGAAGGGAAGAGATCAATGAAGAAACATATAGATGGGGATCTAGAGCACAGCCTTTGAATCAGCTAGCACTTGGATCAACTTTGGCAACAGAACTCTTCACATGTACTTCTTCATTGACAACTACAAGAGTAACCCTTCAGGAATGCAAATGAGATTAGATGCATTGCATATACAATTAACATGTTAGTTTTTTTTTTTTTAAGTAGATAGAACCATAAAAATCATGGTGTTTTTCTCCATGTTCACAAGGAACAATACTTGGAGGCTGGAACGTGGAATGTAAGCATTGGGAACTGTAAGGACACAGGGCACAGACTAGTTCATGACTGAAGACAAGTGAAAGGCTGTGTACTTGTTTTATAGATACCACACTGAGATAAGAAATGGAGAATGAAGTTGGTTCTGGCCATGAGTTTCATTTGTTTATAGAAGACTAAAAGAAAATCATCTAGTTAAAAGAAGGCCTTTAAGTCTAAGACACTGATTTTGGGTCTTTCAGGTAGATGGTAGTGAATATGAATAACCTTCAGTAAATAATGCAGTAAGAGAAAGATATAGAGCTTTAACCCACTTCTCTTTTCTGTCTGATGGCAGGTATAGGAGAGGCCTGGGACCTGACATGAAAAAGGAAGCCTTTTGCTTTTAAAAAGGGCTGACAAAGGCCAGCTTTGACCTTTTAAGGCCCAAGAAAAATGGGCAGAAGTTTGCACAAACACAACTGTGCTACAGAAAGAGGGGAGGTTTGGGCTGTGAATTCCATTCCCATATTCAAGTCAGTGTACTGACATCTGAGTCTTCTCAACAGCAGTGCTTTCTTCTTCAGAAGGAACTGGAGGAAGTCTGAGCATCCTCATTTATTGATCCAGGGGTTTGTACATCTTCTAGCATTATGATTTGGGATTGGTTTTGTTCCTTTATCTTCCTATCTCTCATTTTTTTTATTTCCCGAAAACACCTTTAGCGACTATTTAAGTCCTACTGAGAGCATAATTAAGGCTGCAGTGGTTGTTTCACTGTTATTTTTAGACCAATTCAGCAGTCATGACAGGACTAGGAAGGCAGGCTTTCATGAAACAATTCTAATTCCACAGGAATTCTCAGGCTGAACATAACAGAGATCCCTGAATTCACAAAACATCTCCTCTAATCTGTTCCCATGGCTAGGATTAGGGGACAGGAATAGGTTTTAACAAGAGAATATAGGTATAAGAAAAAGGGTGTCCCCAGTCCCTGGAGAAGCAAATAAATATTGTCCTTGGTCATATTTTGCTACCAGGTGACATTTCCTCGTTTATCTCCCATATGTCTGAGGAAGGTCTCCATTAAGGAACTATAGTTGTTCCTGAACTTGCTTTGGACTCAGTTTTTCTCTCCCTTTTGCTATGTCTATTCCTTTGAGCTCTGACTTTTCTAGATGGAAGGCCATATGGCTGCATGTCTTTGGGATGCCTTTTGAGTATGTTCAATCTTAGGGGGATCCCAAGAAGCTCTAACTTATACCTGAGGAAAGGTATTCTGTTACTGGTCAGATGATCCCTAACAACAGCCAACAGAACCAGAACAGTCCTCCCTATGTTAAGACACAGTGGTTTTTGGTTTTTTAAACATGGTCTTGCTATACAGGTCAGGACGGCTTCAAATTCATGATCTTTCTGCCTCTGCCTTTCTAGTGATGTGATTACAGCTGTGCACCACCATGCATAGTTCTTACATTTGTTTGTTTATTTATTTTTGGTTTTTCAAGACAGGGTTTCTCTGTGTAGTTTTGGTGTCTGTCCTGGATCTTGCTCTGTAGACCAGGCTGGTCTCGAACTCAGAGAGATCCGCCTGGCTCTGCCTCCCAAGTGCTGGGATTAAAGGCATATGCCACCGCCACCTGGCCTGTTTATTTTTAAAGACAACGTCTTACTATATAGGCCTGCCTAGCCTGAAATTCCAGTGTAGACCAGACTGACCTGAAATTCACAGAGATTCACCTGTCTCTGTCTCTTGAGTGTTGGGACTAAAGGCATGTGTGACACCATGCCTGGCAGGTTTTTTTTGCTTTTTGTTTTATTTTTTTGAGACAGAGTTTCTCTGTATAACAGCCCTCGCTGTCCTGGAATTTGCTTTGTAGAACAGGCTGGACTTGAACTCACAGAGATCCACCTACCTTTGCTTCTTGAGTGCTGGGATTAAAGGGGTGCACCAGTACCACCTGGCTGGCAGTTGTTGTTTTAATGTTCCTTTATTTTTATTTCATGTGTTGGAGTGTTTGCCTGCCTGCATGTACATGTATCATGTGTGTGCCTGGTACTCACAGAAGACAGAAGGGGGCATTGGATATCCTGGACCTGGAGTTACAGACAGTCATGAGTTGCCATGTGGGTGCTGGGAACTGAAAGCAGGTCTTCTGCAAGAGCAGTCAGTACTCCAGTCCCCAGTATGGTCTTAAGTTTTAAAGTCAAGTGAATACCCTTTCAGAAGAGACTATTCTACTAGGGGAGAGGCTACAAAGGTTTCAAACTAAGAAAATACCTGTAGTCAAGAAGGCGTTCCATGAGGCGGGTGACTGAGGTGACAAAGGAAATGCCAGTCTCACGCCATGTTTCTTGTTCAACCTTCTCCAGAAGGCTGTTGGCAGAAGAAGCAAACATAATTCATGAGCCTTTCCTGGTGACAAGAGTGAGGTCCAAGAACCTGTGGAGGCTGTGATACATCTGGAGACAGGAGACTTGCCACACTGTAGTCTTACCTGGGGTAGGGCCCAAACAGCTGGGTTCTACTCCATGCAGCAGAAAACAAAGACAAGGATATTATTGAACGGGCAGCAACAAAAGAACCTATCTCCCATTTCAGAGTGCATGTTCCTAAGGATACCATTGAGGTGGAGGTGAGAGAGGCATATGCTATAAGGTCTATCTAAGGAACACATGAGTTAAGAGCCTATGGTGGAATAAGTCTGGCTTTGCCAATTGGTTAATATTGTCCAGAGCCATTTTCAGTAAATGTACAAAACTACCTCTTCTCATACATCAAAGATTCCCACAAGTCTCAGGAGCCCAGTATGAGGGACAGAGAACAAATTTAGGAGCTATACTCTGTCATCACCTTAGTCAAGGGAAACTTCCAAAACATATGTGACAAAGATAGAAACTTAATGTACAGGTCATTAAAAAAAATCTGACAGTCACTCTGAGGCAGCTTTTAGCTTATCCAAAAAACCTGGCTTTAGGATACGCTGACATCCCATATGATTCTTCCAGGAGGTGATGACCTGCATTATTTCTTCTTGCTCTAGTAATGAGCTTAGGTCTTGATCTCATTCCATACAACTCTATTTATGATTCCTTATGAGCATGCTTCTTGCTTTCTAAGTTTCTAAGAGTCATCTTGAGTTGGCTGGCCCAGGACTGAGAACAAGCACTGGGGACTCAAACTCACAGCTTGATTGCTGTTATGCTTTTCGTTATGATCACTGCCTCCCTGAACAGAACATACACCTGGGCCAAAGGTTCAGGGAAAGTGAGAATTTCTGTGATCATGCTGCTAAAGAGAGAGAAGACCATAGGCTTTAGCCTCTAACTTGTGTGGACTAGAACACTATACTATTTCCAACTGTTCTATAGAGCTTTACTGTCCTGGACGTTGGGAAGAGGTGTTCTATGAGCACACAAGCATGGAAAATGCTGATTACTACCTCATTCCTTTAACTGAATCTTTTCTGAATTAATCTATACACATTTTATCCCCCCAAAACCTACAAACATCACCTCCAAATTAAAACTATGAAATGTTGCTCCATGGTATCAGTAGCTATCAGGTCTCAAACTGATTTTAAAAAGGTTTACAAACACAATTTGGATAGGTAACTATTAATTGAGAGCTATTTTTATACTTTTTCCTTTGTAATAAAGTCATTTGTAGGAAGCCAACAAAGAGAATTCAATGTCTTTCTTCCACAACTGGAAACATTTTGTTAAAAGAGATATATTGGAAGATGAATATATTTCATCATAAATTTCCAATAAAATTCTTATGACTCATGAAAGAACAAACCAGCCATAGTGTACCAGGAAGAAGGGTTCTTCCTTCAGAGGTGCCTTTTACTGGTGACATGCCAGCACTTCCTCGAGCCCAGTCTCAGCACTTCTAAGAAGGGGAGTACAATCCCCACACTGTAGCCCTTGCAAGTCTGTTGTCAGCATCAAGTCTAAAAGTCAACTTGCACAATTTTTGGAGTTTAAAATTTTCTGAATTACTGGTAGACAACAGTTGTAAATTTTGTTAAATTTGACATTTTGATATTAGATTAATAAAGTACACACAGGAATTATGTTATGAAACCAATTATATTTCAATAAAAGTACTATTTTCTATGATTAAGTCTATATTGTGGATCTGATACACCCAATGGTACTTTTGTAATAACTGCTAATGTAAATAGAATAACTCAGAATCTTAACAAATAAAAATATCAATACATTTTATACACTGCAATAATATCTAAGTAAGTAAGACTAAGTAATGTCTCATGAGGCCTGAGGGCCTTTATCAACTTAAAAAAAGAAGCTATTAAAATGATAGGTCTGGGGGAACTTTGGCATCATTCAGTACAGCCAGATCATTTCATAAACAGGAAAATGGCCTAGAGAGGCTGTGTGGTTTATTCAAGAACCTGGGCAGTGTTTATCAAGCTGCAATGTTTCCTAGAAGAGAATTCATACTTTACCTCCCAGAAATACCAGGAATGAATCTTAAATTGAATAAATCCCTATGGGCTATTTTTCCAACAGGATGTAGGGAATGTTATGAAGATATACAATGACTTCTTATAGCAAACCTAGGAGCTGAATTATTATTTATGTATTCATTCATCTTCAGTTAACCATAATGATCCCTAAAAGTGCTTGCTTGCTTTTTTTCTTCCTTCCTTCCTTCTTTTCCTTCCTTCCTTTGTGTGTGTGTGTGTGTGTGTGTGTGTGTGTGTGTGTGTGTGTGTGTGTGTGTGTGTGTGTTTTTCAAGACAAGATTTCTGTGTGTAGCCCTGGTTGTCCTGGAACTTGGTCTGTAGATCAGGCTGGACTCAAACTCATAGGGATCTTTGCCTTTCAAGTGCTGGGATTAAAGCCACCACTACCAGGCTAAGGAACCACACCCCCTACCCCCCAGGAGCTGAGGACTGAACCCAGTACCACTAAGCTAAATCCCCAAGCCCACTTGTTTTCATGTTGATAGAAAGTGACTATGGCTACCACCAGAATCAATGGGGGCTCTCCTGGTACCCAACCTCTGAAGCCTGCCCAGTGCAGGCTTCACCTCTACCCTTCACTAGCTCACATCACGCCTTCTCCCAACATGGGGCTCCTGGGGAAGGAGCAGCTTACAGCAGGCTGAAGAGTTCCCTGTAGCTCTCATCACCTTTCCCCTCTGACACCATGCTGTCCAGCTTGTCAATCAGCTCAGCCTCCACCTATAAGGAAGCAGAGACTTCATAAGCTCAAATGAACTCAGAGAAAGAACTCCAGTCTCATGACTACTCAAGGATCATGGAAAACTATTTTTATATATATATATATATTTTATCATAGTTGCAAGTAAATTTCACCAAAGACAGGATCTCATCTATTGCATTAAAAAAACCCTTGTCTTCTAAACCAGAGACTAGATAGCCCAGGGACCTAGAGTAAAACCAAACCCTGCTGTTCTAACAAACAAACAAAACATTGCAGTGATAAAATGACTCCTAATGTCACTCTGTTATACTAGTAGCTCAGTGCTTTGCTAAGTCATCATCAGAGAAGCTTCCTCCAGCAGTGTGGGAGCCCACAGAGGCTTCCTAGTGAGAAATTACTCAGGGTCAGAGAATCTTGAGCTTGCTTTACCTGGCAGGGCTGCATAATGAGATGATTTGGTCATGGGTATGCTTACCAGGTGTTTGGAAGGATCTACACTTGGCTGTATGGTGTGCTTTGATCATGCAAGGGGGGGGGGCTCTTTTGCTTCTCCTCTTGGCATGTTAGAAAAAGCCCTTTTCAATAAAGGATGAGGCTGTTGGGTATTGATCCAGGGCCCTCCTGAAGCTATCCTGTGTTTCTGTCTTTCTTCTTGTAGGCTAGGTCTCTCTTTCTATCTGATATTTCCTCATTCCTCTCTCCTCCACCTAAGACCCTTTCAAAAGATGGGAGCTGGGCTCCCATACTGCAGCAGATAGGAATAAATACAGAGACCCACAGCCAGACATTATACAGAGAGTGAAAGATCTTTGAACACTCAACCCTAAATGGGATGTCTATCAAATCCCTCCCTTCAGAGGTCAGGGAACTTTTCGAAGAGGAGATGTGAAGAGTGTAAGAGTCTATCGCTGCCTGGAGGGCCAGCCTCCAGAAGCCCAGGGCATGCAAAAAACAAAACAAAACAAAACCCAGGAATGTGGCAAGGGCTAGACTTTTTCTATATGAGGGGAATAAAAAAGAAAAACATGCTTTCTGATGGTAACTTTCTCTTTAATTCATCTTGAAAAAAAAATCTCTCCTCAACAGAAAACTTTAGACAATATATGAATTACATATTCAGGATCACAGAGCATTTCTTGAGTAAACAATAAGAAACAGAGCCAATCTGGCAACACACAGCCTCTCTCAGGCTAGAAATATCGCTCTGACCAGGCATGGTGAGCAACCATGGCAACACTTGTCTGTGCAGGCAGGAGGCACATATCCTGAGACACATCACAGAGAATGACATTAAAATTCAGGACCTAAGCAATAAACAGTTAGTTGGCTTAACCTTGAGCCTTGTATCATAAAAGTGACGTCAGGAGTATGTACAGAAAGTCAGTTGCTGAGAGGATTTGTACAGGGAGTTGTATCTTTAATGTTATCAGCCAGGATTTTGCAAGCAAAAAACTGGCACTAAAGTTGTTTCATGCCTGACCTTGGTTTCATCACAGACACCTGGGAAATTGTCCTTGAGCAATTCATCTCCAGGAGCAACTAGTCTATTTTGGATTTGTTCTGAGGTCTGTACTTGTCTTGAAGCCATGGAATAAAAGCCTGGCTAAGAAAGTGTATTTTATTCACCAAAATTACACAGTGTAAGAAGTCATTCTTCTGTCAATTCACAGACATAATTGTGCCCCAAAAGTGTAAAACACACTACCAAAGGCCTGTGGAAAGAACCCCACAGCTGTTCTGTTTAGGGAGGAATTGTGGTGGCACATGAGAAAATTACAGACAGAAACCACCAGTTTCCACAGCCAGTAACCCCACAGGTCTTTGCCTAGTGGGGCTTCTCATCAGAGAGTTATTCATCTGATGGGTCAACCTGTTGAATATTAGCTGTCATCTGCTTTATATTCTCAGTGGCCTTCGATAAGAGCCAGAGGGGGAAGGAGGACACCAAGAAAAGGCTCTCTAAATCAACAGGATCCATGCACATATGAACTCAGAGACTGAGGCAACATGCATAGGGTCTGCACTGGTCTGTACCATGTTCTCTGCAATTATATTATGGGTTCCAGTTTAGTGTTTTCATAGGACTTCTGAGTGTGTAAACAAGTGGTTCTCTGATTATTCTGCCTTCTCTTGGGCTTTTTCCTTCTGCTTGTTTGTCTTGTCCAACCCTAATGTATTAGTTGTTGTTTTACCTTATTATAGTTTATTTCATCATATTTTATTTGTATCCCTTAGGAGCATGTTATTTTCTAATGAGACAGAAATGGAGTGGATCTGCATGGGAGGGGAAACTGTAATCACTATATATAGTATGTGAGGAAAAAAAAGTCTATTAGCAATAAAAGGAAAAACAAATAAACAAACCTGTCTCCCTTGCTTAGGAAGGCTTTTCATTCTGGTTTAAGTGTGCAAATTTCAGATAACCATTTCCTATCTAAGAGCTAAAGATAAGGACTCCTTCAGGGAAATGTGTTTCAGATCTAAAAGAGAGGCCTTTATCAAATGTTCCTCTTTTTAAAATATAGTATTTTTATTAATTTTCAGTGAATTTCATATTCACATACAATTTATTTTGATCATATTCACCTCCCCACTCTGCCCTCTAAGAGCTCCTGGGTCCATCCCTTAGGTGCCCCCTTAGATAACCCACTGAATCCAATCTGTGGCGCTCATATGTGCATGGGTGTGGGGTCCTCCTCTGGAGCACAGGTGACCTACCAGACTACTTTTTTTTTTTTTGGAGATAGGGCTTCTCTGTGTAGCCTTGACTATCCTAGAACTCACTCTGTAGACCACGTGACCTTGAACTCACAGAGACCTGCCTGCTTCTGCCTCTGAGTGCTAGAATTAAAGGGGCATGTGCCCCCCAACCCCACCAGAGCCCCAGGGTACACTCTTAAAGTAAACAGACTCTCCCTCTCCTAGCAGGCATCAACCATCAATAGTTCCTCAGCTAGGGAGTGAGAGACTTATAAGCCCCTCCTGTTTCCATGCTGGTAAACTGTCAGGCTTGATCTTGTATAGGTCTTGTGCAGACAACCATTGATGCTGTGAGTTCATGAGTGTATCAGTCCTGTCATGCCCAGAAGACATTGTTTCTTTTTTTTTATCCTGTGCTGAGGAAATGTATTTATTTTACACACCAACTACTTTCTCCTCCATCCTCTCCTTCTGTTCCCTCCCTCCACCTCCTTTCTACCCTCCCACCCATCCACTCCTCAGAAAGGCTAAGGCTTCTCATCAGAGTCAATAACTAATGGTATATCAAGCTGAGGTAGGACTAAGCTCCTCCCCACTCTATGAAGGCTGAGTGAGGCATTCCACCATAGGGAATAGGTTCCAAAAAGCCAGCTCATGCACCAGGGACTGATTCTGCTCCCTGCTAGGGGCCCCACAAACAGACACCAAGTTATACAACTGACTCTCACATGCAGAGGGCCTAGGTCAGTCCCATGTAGGTTACCTAGCTGTCTGTCTAGAGTCCATAAGCTCCCTTGAGCTCAGGTCAGCTATCTCTGTGGGTTTCCCCATTATGACTCTTGACCCCCCTGGCTCCTACAATCCCTCCTCCCTCTCTTCAGTAGAACTCCTGGAGCTCAGCTCAATTTTTGGCTGCAGATCTCTGCATCTGCTTCCATCAGTTACTGGATGAAGGTTCTAGGATGACAATTAGGGTAGTCACCAATCTGATTACAGGAGAAGGCCAGTTCTGGCACCCTCTCCACTATTGCTAGGAGTCTTATCTGGGGTTTTCCTTGTGGATTCCTGAGATTTTCCCTGGTACCAGGTTTCTCCCTAACCCCATAAGGCCCCCCTCTATCAAGATATCTCTTTTGTTGCTCCCCTCTCCATCCCTACCCCAACTCAACCATCCCAATCCCTCATGTTTCCATTCCCCACCCACCCCTCTACTCTCCCCACTCTGCCCCCAGTTTACCCAGGTGATCTCATATTTCCCCTTCCCAGGGCAATCCATGCATCCCTCTTAAGAGTCTCCAGAAGACACTGTTCATCCCAGTCTTCCCTGACCACTGGCTCTTACAATCTTTCCAACACCTCTTCTGCAATGCTCCCAAACACTTCTTTTTTTCTTTTTTTTTAAGTCAGGGTTTCTCTGTACAACAGCCCTGGCTTCCTAGATCTACTCTGTAGACCAGGCTGGTCTCAAACTCACAGAGATCCACTTGCCTCTGCCTCCCGAGTGTTGGGATTAAAGGTGTGTACTACCATCACCCAGCTGTTTTTCTGTTGTTGTTATTTTTTTGTTGTTGTTGTTTTGAGATAGGGTTTCTCTGTGTAGCTCTGGCTGTCCTGGAACTCATTCTGTAGCCCAGGCTGGCCTCGAACTCACAGAGATCCGCCTGCCTCTGCCTCCTGAGTGCTGGGATTAAAGGCATGTGCCACCACCGCCTGGCACAGCTGTTTCTTTCTTTAAAAAACTGTTTTTTATATTTATTATTTTGTATGTGTGCTGGGAGTTTACATGTGGAGGTCAGAGAACCTACAAAGAGCCAGTTCTCTCTTTCTACTGGAGATCAAACTCAAGTCATTGGGCTTGGTGAAGAGTACCTTTAGACTCTCTGAGCCATTCTACTGGCTTCAAATATTTCTTGGTTTAAAATATCCATTCAAGAACACATTTAGTCCCAGCACTTGGGAGAGAGAGGCAGTCAGATCTCTGTGAGAGTTCCAGTCCAGCCTGGTCTACAGAGCAAGTTCTAGGATAGCCAGGGCTACATAGAGAAACCCTGTCTTTAAAAGCAGCCAAACAAATAAACAAACATTCATTCAAAGGAATTTATATACATAGACTATATCTCCAGATCTGTAGAATAGGAACAATGTAGTACTGTTCCTCACAGTTGAGGAATCCAGTCACAGGGCATTGACAAAGCAGCAGCTTCAAGAGCTTTAGGTTTTATGGGTACAAAAAGTGAAGCCTGTTATCCTGAAAGTTTCTGAGGGAAATATAGCTCATTCAAACTCAACTAATGTCAACCTCAGTAGAACAAGGACA